TTTTTGTTTTTTTTGGTATTCTGTGGTTCCGTCAATTCCAGATGCCGTCTTCAAGCGGCAGTTCTTTCCCCCCCAGCTATGCAAAACCGATCATGTGTGTGGGACTCGACCATGAGGTGTTCGGTTCATTTTCTATTACGAACTTAAGTGACACAAAGGACGACCAGACCATTGGGACCTGGCTGCCCCATCTCGGACAAACAACACAGCCTATCAGGGACGACATGGATCTAATGGCACATGCAGGCGCTCACAGGCGCAGTGGCTCACAGTGAGCCAACACTCATTAGATAGACCTATGGGGCTCAGCAGAGCATCCGGAAACAGATATCTCGCAGAGGGCGGGCAGGTATAAAGGGACTACGGGAGAACTCAGATTGTCAGATAGTTCGACAGTAGTCAATAGATCATTATCACCGAGACCAGTATTACGAACATACTTGTTGTGAACCTTTTGGCTTCACCGAACAGCACTGATAGTTACTACCTTCAGCTATCTCATTTAGGCAGATCAGACTGCCGTTCGTCACCTTTTCACAACTGCTCGCCTGAAGAACGACCTGAAGAAAACGAGAGGCAATCGAGACCGCAACAGGGAAGACTCAGCTGTACAAAAAAAGGAGAAAAGCGGAGATGGTTCGGCCGATTGGAATTCATTGGAGACGCTTGGAGAAAAGCGGAGATTTGTCATGAGCTGACCCCACCGGGGAGGATGGCGTGCATGGCTCTCGCCTGTAACGGCCAGTGATCAATCAGCCCTGCAACGGCCGTGATGGCTTCGCTTCAACGGTTGTGGTGGTGGTCGCCTGCACTGTAACTGGTGCACTGCACTTGTTCTCTGCAGCAGCGATCACCTTGCATTTGAACCATTGTGGTTTTTCTTTTCGTTGCAACGGTTTTGTGGAAGGGAAGTAAGTGGTGCTCATCAATATCCCGTCCTCGGCATCGGTTCATCACATCACCTTCGATATCGGAAAGCCAAATACGTGTAACCATTTCTCTAAAGATAGGTACCGGAGACACGTCCGATGGGGTGTCCATAAACTGAACCTCTTCCCATCTCTCTTCTGATTCTCCCTTTTTCTCCTTCTCTGCGTTTTCGTTTCATCCGGCTACTGAACCCCGAACAGAGGACCCCATATTGTGTCAATCTAATAAGATTATATCCCATCCCCCGGTCGCCAGGTGGAGTGACCAAATCCCTCAATCTCCAGCCTGACGAACCGCAACTCTCCCCCCGGGACCAAGAACGAGGGAATCGACCAGGGCCAACGGCACATCCTTCGATTCGACCGACAGGGTGCATTCATATTTCTCCAGTCCCTTCTCCTCCTCCTTCTACCCACAGCATTCAAGAACAGGACTTGTTGCTTTTGCCATCATTCTCCTTCAACACCAACAATATACATATGGGATTCATCTCCTTCTTCCATCTTGACTCATACATACCACCTACTTATCACCACCATCTTCGAGCCTTCGACATCCCCAGATCTCGTCAATCCATCCCGATATCATTCACAGACACCCACTTTCAGTAATCACCAACTATGTGCCGTCAAATGGTCTTCTCAGGCACCTGCCCCCAATGCACCCAACACTTCATCTGGCGCGACCTCTCGCAAGAGCTTTCCTGTCTCGAAGCCAAGAACACAGGGGTATTCGGCCAATGCACCTTCGGGGTACAAATCGAGGAGCACCGATTCGATCAAGAATGCGAGCCGTGCGCCGCCGAAAACGAGAGGGATGAAGGAGTGTATTGTGCTGCTGACGCTGATGGTGACACCGGTAGTGAGCTCTGCACTCCTGGGGAGCTGATTTCCGATCCGAATAAGCAACCTTTTACGACATCTACACATGGAAAAAAAGGACATCTCCTGGATGCGAGGGGAAAGAAACACGCTGAGTTTGAAATTGATGCCGATGGAGTGCAACGAGAAGAGGATGGAGGGAGGAGGAAGAAGCAGAGGGTTGCATGAGTGCAGAGACCTGGAAGGCAAAGCAGGAAAGCAGCAAAGCAACAAAGCAAAGTGCTCCGAGGGAAGCAGGGCAACCTCGCTGGACGAATGATTCAATGAGATCATATCGTCAAGAAGCCTGCCCTGTCCTGCCCTGCCCTGCCCTGCCCCGCTCTCGGAGACTTTCTTTACACTATTAGGACGAGATATGGAGACAAGACAAGCACCAAAGCACCAAAGCACCAAAACACCAAAGCACGCCGAGAGAGGAAACTGCGAGAGATGAAGCGACGACCGAAAGCTTGCGCCGAAGGGTTGAATGACGATCGAGGAAACCACAATTCCAAACTCCGCAACGGATCGAAAATTCTCCGCACCGGAGTTCGAGAATGTCTCGGGTGTCATCAGCCGGCCCATCCGTCGCATTGCATCACATCACATCATCCGTCCCGAACATCACCGAACGGTTGCGCATTCGGTACAGTGTTCGAATTTGCATGGTTTGCACGTACGCCATTCGCACCCCCGCTCCCGCGTTTCTCCCCCGCCCGAACGGCCGTGGCGCCGCTGAGCAGGGGTTTCGGGCCGATGTGCCGATGCCTGCTGTTCGTTAGGTCAACTTCGATATCTTATCAGCAACATTGAAGCGTTGCATGACTTGCAATAACATCCGAAGGGGAAAGGTCTTCTGGCATTGGTATTAGGAGTTTGCTCATCGCGGGCCGCAGTCATCATCAGTCCACCAATTCATGTCGACCCGTTCGTATTCGGCTTCATCAACACAGCACAATGCCCCACGGCCGATGATAGATAACCATGATGCTAAGGACCTACGCCAGATGGTGATAACTCGACGACTTGGCCTGTCCTCTTCAACCTACAATCGCTAGTTTGATAGGGTCTCAAGGTCGAGGATTGGTCATTCACGCAGACTTTATCAAAGGGTCAAGAGCCGGGCCGAGAGCGTGAAGAAAGCAAACAATCCGTCATCAAAGAGCCAAAGCCGCCAACAACAACGGGCAACGGGCAACGGGCAACGGGCGACAACGAATATGCGCAGATAATCGAGCCGTCGAGGAGAGTCGAGGCTGAGGATCGGGCACTGTCCACAATTTTCATGTATTTCCAAATACAACACGGCTAGGGTTCCATGATGTCAAATACGCATGGGATACTTCATGATTCTAAATCACGTCGAACAATCCATGTATTGCCAACATAATCGGCCCTTCTGGATCCCGAATAGGTACATACACGTCAAAAATAACGTGGTCGAGCCCCAAGTCACGGATGTCTAAGGACGGGAGGAAGCAAACCGACGCAACAAGATCGACGATTGACAAGAGAAGAGGAAGAGGGAGGTGTAGAAAAGCAGATGGATGCTTGCAGCAAGGTAGCGAGCGGCACAGGAAGGATTGAACCGGGTAACGCCAGGGCTGGGAGTGGATTTGAGGATCAGAGTACCTTATCTACCTCAACTGATCATGGCTTCGATAAGGAGTGCCCGGCACTGAGAGCTACAAGAGGAACGAGGGAGGAAGGAGGAGGGGACAGAAACCGTTGGCAGAAGTACTCTTAGGAGCCATGCAGCATACTTAGGCAGGGAATATGATTCTTAGATCGAGGCGTGGACAATGCGGAGGGTATCTACACATTTCTTGTATCAGCGTTTTTGGATGTTGATGATACCCCTAGTTTAGCTCATTGGTGTTTTTGGTTACAGATACAGACAAGTGGTGAGTGACCGAGCCATGTTAGGTATCAACTTATCATGAGCCGGTCCACCATTGCTTGTTGGTTACCTACCGGAGTGGTCTTATTCCACAGGGTTCTGTTCAAATCGACGCTTTTCTGCGACATACTTGGTGAAGTGTTTTCTGAATATCTAGTCTATCTATCCTCTTGCTCTGTTAACCAAAAGAACCGATCACCATGTAACAACAATCCGTGAATCTGGTGGTATCTCCCAACGTCGCATCTCCCTGACTGACTGCTTCCCATCATAACCTCAACGCTATCTTGTTTGGCTCACCCACCCTTCTCTCATGTCCTCCTATCATTCACGGTGCTCTCTCTTTTTTTGCCCATTCTGTCACCCCACGCATGATCTCGTCCTCGCGCTCCCTACCTTTCCCAACATCCAATGCCCTCACCAATAGCATCATCCCCAATCTACATCCACCCCTCCCCCTCCCAAAAGCTCCCTACACAACCCCAATACCCCCATCATTCCCCGCCCCCCTAGCATGCCCTACATGCCCAGTCCCCTCAAACTTCTCCGCCCTAACCCTCACCCCCCTCTGTCTCGCCTCATCCATATGTCCCTCCACATCTTTCCAGTTCACCAACTCATCCCCCTCACTATAAATATACATCCTCCCCCGTTCCCTCTCGGCCCTGCCCTTATTTGGGGAAGTATCATTCTGTTCCCTCGCCAACCGTCCCAGTGGACTTTCCAGCTTCGAAAGAAACGGTACAAAACGGCCGAGGAAGTTACATGTCCAGAGGAAGGAGACCCATAAATGGATTAGCGGGCCGATTAATACGCGCTGTAAGGTGGCGGGGGTGAAGAGCCATAATGGGAAGCGGGCGCGTGAGGCCGGAGGGAGTAAAACATGGGAGAGAGCGAGGTAAGAGGGAAAATAGGCCATTTGACCTGGGGCAGAATCGAATATGACCAGGTGCGGGGGGAGCCGGAGTTGCAGAGAGGATCGGGAGAGGAGATAATGGTGCAGGGATAGAAGCTGGGAAGAACCGCCGTTGGAGAAGAGGTGGATTAGGAGTTCTGGATCCTCTTCCTTCTCCTCCTTGGTGCTGTCGTTGTTGCTGGCTGCTGGCGACGCCAAAGCTGTGGTTGACCCTCCTTCCAAGTTGCCGAAACTGTGAGAACCAGCCCTCAACATATCCGCCCCGAAAATGTCTCGCAAAACATCTACCACCCCAGCCTGCTCCATCTCGGGCCAGAAACTCTTTGGGTTGAAAATGTGCTTCATCTCGGACTTGATGAGCAGGATCGGCGTACTGGGGAATAAGGATTGGTAATAGGGCGTGAGGTATTTGGCGATGTGAGGGTCGCGGGCGCCCATCCAGGAGAAGAGGAGGATGAGTTTTGGTGGGGGGCGTTTGCTGCTTGTTGTGGTTGTTGTGGTGGTGATGGAAGTTGGCGAGGGTCGGTAGAGGTAGACGTGTTGCGAGAGACGGGTCATGAAGGAGAGGGGGCCTCCGTCCTTGGTGACGGCTTTGGTGGTTGAAGCCATCTTGTTCGATGGGTTTGCTTCTTCTGGGAATGAATTTGGCGTGTTTTAGTACCTATGCTGCGTTGTGTTGTTTGGTGAGAGAAGGAGGTTGACGTTGATGCGTCGAGGTTGCTTCCAGGTTGGTGGACGGGGAGATGGTGAAGCGGGGTGACCCGGAGGATGGAACCCACTGAAGGTTGCGGGGGATTAGCGTGACTTTATGTCTTCAACCACAACCACTGTGCCGCAATTGCGTCTCGGACTCAACAATCAGTTGCTTTCTTCTGCCTGGAACTGACTGATTCGATATCGAACGCCAATGTCAGAGTGCGATCATAAACCAAAGACAAGGCGATTCCGAGTCCGACGTTGAAGCAAAGTTGATTTGTTATCCAGTATCTCACTCCCCTTGCCGAGGGTTGCTACGCTGACGTCGTACTGCACTAACAATTACCCTAACAATCACCACGACGCCAAGCCCTCGGCAGGAACAGACAACGAACCTTCGGCACTCGACAGAGCCAGGCGGCCTGACCCTCTTCCATTTCCATCGTCCACGATTCACCATTTTCGAGGTCATTAGGGGCAAGACACTCAGCCATCGTTTCAATCTACCACATTGGTACGAGTATTAAATCTCTACATTACAATTTTCTTTGATGAAATTATCTTACATCGTGTCAACATACCGGATTCTGGCGCTTACTCACTCGTGATGCCCATCCCTCCTATCCGCCTGTGCCTGGCCCGGAATGAGTACCGAAGTGAGGCCTGTCGCCGACGACCGGTACGGCGTCACACATCCATTCCCAACGGTGCCGTCGCAAGAAACCCAATTTCAACAAGCTTTCCAAGTACTATGTATGGAACTGGCGAAAATTGCAGAGCACCTGAAAGCCAGGAAAGCGCAGCCGCTTCATTCACGACCCCAACAAGCGTGAGAAGGCTCTCAAGGAGCGTTGCACGGTTGCGTACGAACCCGGCCATCCGAAAGCCCAACCAAATATTGGACTTGGGCCGGGAACACAAGCCGGTTTGCATCACTTCACGTCACTACGAATAGGCACGAGAAACACGTTTCGATCGATTCATCAAACAGGCACAGGCACAGGTCAACACAATCACTTTTGGTCACTACAATAGGGGACACAAGCATGTCAAAACAAATATCATTGCCACAAACGTCGGCCTAGCATTTTTCATGTCAAGTTAAGCTAGGTAAGCAATCAAGGTAGGTATCTCAAATAACTCCCATTCTTTCCCTGGTTCCTTGTCCTTCATGCTCCACGTCCTAAATGCACGAACTCGAATCCTCGAAACCTCTTAATACACAAATACAAATCTTCTCATCACAGGATGCCCGAGCCCCTTACCCTCCACAATCCTCCTGATCCTCCACCCTCCCACTGCGTCCTTTATCATCTGCAGAATCTAGCTCATACCATTATCGATTGATCCGTTCCTTGTATTTTTATGTCGTATTTCCGGTCTTGAAGTGAGAGAAGGCTTGCTCCCGCCGTGAAGTGCGAGAAGGCTTGCAAGCAAGACGTCTCCTCCCCCAATCTCGACAACCCAGTATACTCCAAACACAATTTCCCGTCCAAGCTAGAGCTTAGGCCACAGACGTAAAAGTCCCACCACCCTTGACCTCGTCCTCGTCCTACTCCACGTTGTGCCCCTCCATCAGACGATTGAGCTCCTCCATCTCGCGGTCTAGGGCCGCACGGCGCTCGCGAACCAAGCGGAGCCGCTCTTCCAACTCCCGGGTCTCCTCGTCGGGCTGGCGGTCTTCTTCATCATTGTCGGGGGCGAGAAATGGGGGAAGGGGAAGGGAGAAGTGGTCGTTGGGGGTGGTGGCGGTGGCGGCGGGAGGTGGGATATATTCCTCCTCGCCGTTCTCCTCATTCTTCTCATTCTCCTCCTCGAACTCCTCCTGGTACCCCTCCCCCTGATACTCTCCATAGTACTCGTCGTAATCCTCCTCTTCATACTCTTCGTCGTACTCCTCGTAGTACTCCTCGTCGTACTCGTCCAGGTACAGTTCCCTGTCGAGGTCGGCGATGTTGCCGACGAGGTTCCAGTATTGGAGCTCCGCTTGGCGCTGGCGCCGGGGCAACAGAGCGAGGAGCTGGAGCTCCAATTCCTGAAGGGAGACCTCACGGTCTTTGTAGGCGGGGGGACGTTCCTGGAGACACATTTTGTGTGTGTGTGAGGTGGGTGTTGGTGGAGGTGGTGGAGGTGGTTGTTGACTTCTGCTAATGGTCGAGGTGTGAGTACAACGTACTAGGTAGGTAGGTATGCTTGATGATAGTTGAGAGTTATATTCGAGAAAGTGGTTGTGTATGTCTTGAAACTTTGCGTTGCGGAGTGTGACAATTGTCAGAAAAGCGCTATGGTCCTTGGAAGGTTGTGGTTTGTTCAAGGGAAGAGGAGAAGGAGAAATAGGAAAATCAGGGGCAGCTGGGCAGCACTGCAGACTAAATACCCAGAGGGGGGTGAGCGACAGTGAATAAAATGGTAGAAGCACAGGCCAGCGAACAGTAATGAACAGCCGGCCAAGATTACGGACATCCGACGTGCAGTATGAACAGATGGCCTAATAGGGGGCCCAAAAGCCTTGTGATTGACAGGGGGAATGGGGCTCTGTTGAAGACATGCGAGCGACAGTGAGATATGTGAAGTCTGAACAGGGACTTACTATGTAGCTAGTAGCTATCTCTGTGCGTGGTTGAGGCTGACGATATTAAACGGTGATTCTATTCGATGAACAGACGAGCGAGGTGCGATGTGTCGTGTCGTGGTTGAACGAAGAAATCGTCGATGTTGATAGTTGATAGATGACTGGAACAAAATCCAAAATCTTGGAGAAGTCTAGAGCAAGGATATAAATATCTTTTTGATCAACAGACGAGCAAAGGCTTGATTGGTAGTGGTTAACCGAAGAAGTCGAAGAAGTCGTCGATGTGAAGGGTTCGAGATGAAGAGGAAGATGGAAGAAAGGTTCAAAAACATGTCGAGAATTCCAGAGAGGGGAAGGTATATAAAGCTCGCTTGGAAAATAAAAAAACGTCCAATCAGCCGTCTGCATTATTGTGTTCTGTCCTATTTGTCCATGTCCCGTTTTCCATAGCACAGGCATTGCATCGTGAGAATACGTGCCTGCATTTTTTTTTTTTTTTTTTTGGTGGAAAATCGGTCCCAGGAATGGGCGAGAAATTAATATTATGTGCAGATATTTACAACACCCATGGCCTAGTCAGTCATATGCATGATCATAGCCTTCTTTTCTCTCTGTTTAATTTTCAGGGCTGATTTTTTCTTGAAATTATGCATTCCTTGGGATGCCTCGTATGTCCAGTTTTGGCCTCGTATATCCGCAGCTTAAGCTTTACCTACGCCAAGTTGAATCCAGTTGCTTCCGTGCGTGAAGATGCACATGCACGTACTATGCAAGACAAAGATGTAAGAGCAGAAGAAATGCAACGGACTTCAAGTAGACACTGGACTTCAAGACACGTAGACCAGAACTGAAGCTTGGTTACTAGGTATCTTCCTCCTGTCCTCAACATGGTATGGTGGATGAGGAATTCTTCGTTTTCTTCAGCTAACCCTTATTAACCACCGAAGCAGCAGTAGTTGATCTCGCTGGCGGGTAGTTTCAGAAGCATGAGTCTAGTATGTGGGTAGGTAGGTAGTTCTGCTTGATCAAGACTTTAAAGTCCAGCTATGACTATGAGTTAGACACACTACGTAGGTTATGATACAGGTCCCCATCATCTTACAATATTCTTTCACGATCTTCTCCCTCGGTTACAATTGATCACGGACCTATCGGCCCCGACATCCCGTCATGTAGTGGCCAAGTTGCCAAAGTTTAAGCTTGCCCCGGCGGTGCATCGGAAGGACTCCCTCCTTGCAAGCATCCATCACATCCATACATCGCTCGCGTTTAAAATATCCGAGTATCTCTAGGTACCGCAGAATTCTGGGGCGTTCAAAAAAGTTTCGAGGTTTTCTCAGTCCCTCTGCTATCATAACCCTACCTTGTATGGTAGTTTTAAAGCAACTTGATGCGGAAATTCTCACTGTTAACATGAGTCTAGAACGCCAGAACCCCCAAACGCCCAGTGCCGAAATTCTGCGTGCGGTATGGATCATCCGAAGGAGCATGTTTGGAAGGGGTTGAGCTGCACCCGCCGGCGCCGGCGCCGGGATGGTAACCTAAGCCAGACACAAGGCGAACGAACCATTCATCGAGTGCTATGATAAGAGGTTGAGAAAAGGAGAAACAGAAAGGACCAGCGGCCTCGAAAGAAACAGGTATTTTCACAGTGGTCGGTATGAATGGGATTCAAGATGGGATTCACCGTCACCACCACAGCCATCAGCTACACCAGGCATCAACCGAGGACAAAGAGTTCAACGAACATTTTTGCTTTGTTTTGCTATGTACCGCCTCCCTAGTATCCCTTTGTTCCTCTAGTATACATACATATGTGCATTTGTCCAGTCCAGTCGGACCTTCGGCAGTCGTCCGTCATTAACCCATCCATCCATCCATTTGTCAATGACGACTGACCACCCCCATTTTTTATTTTTTTTTGGTAAATCCATTCACTCCGCTGAACCAAAGCCAAACAAAACTTCAGAAAGGTCATCCATCATCTTGCTCTCTGCAAAACGTGACGGGGCATGTGTTTCTCGTGTGTAGAACGTATGTATGCAAATGAGGCATGAAGAAGCTCGAAGAAACAAGAAGAAAAGAAGTGAAGAAAACGACGACATGGCAGTGACATATCGCTTGCTGATGGCTTGTTTTGTATAGCTCACCAAGTGGCCACTTGGTAGATTCTCGCTTGGGCATGATTCTCATCATGATCATGAAGACATGAACGGCGACAGGCTCCGTGGCATAGGTACATGCAAAAATCGCAATGAGGTCTCCATGTATCCAAGGACAAACAAAAGTCTGCAGTCCGTTCGTCGCTTCGGGTCTCATAGTATCAAGCAGCTTGGCGGAGAATGTGGGCGGACACAACAATCAAACCGATTGGTAGATCGCATCATGAGGTTACCCAACCCATTTGGGGACCGTTTTTCTCGCAGTGAGCCAACCACTGCAAGATGCATCTGCATTCGATCCATTGCCAGAGGATTCTTCAGTACGTAGCCAGCTTGTGCATCAGACAGAGGTGCATGCTAGATGCCAGATACATGGAGCAACCCGGTCATCAGAAGAAAGGCCGATGGTAGATGATGGGTGTGAACCCGGCCGAAGCGCTTGCCACGCGCTTGTAAGAGAGCCATCATGTCGTGAAATGTGCCGTGGGGAGCCGGCAACCCGAGATAGAGTCGTAATCGTACAATCATTGAACACAACTGGACTTCGTTCTTCTTCCAGTTATACGCTGAGATGCCGAAAAGAAAAGGTAAGCGCTTCTCACTTTTCCATGCCCTATAAGCATGGAATATGATGGTCCGTCATGATCGAGACATCAACGCGCAGCATGGTCAACGAGACAAGCAGCAGCAAGCAGCAGCAGTAGCGGCAATGTCAAAACGTGCCAGGAGACATGGTATGGGCGAGAATCAATGGCATGGCATGCGCATCATAAGTCCGGCATCATCATGGCGAAGTTTACGATGTGCCAGGGGCCTGGCCGGCAGCACCTTGACCTTGAGAAGCCTGAGCGGCAAGCTGGGACTGCCACCACAAAGCAACATAGTTGTCATAACCGCCGTCTGTTTGCGAGTTAGTGGGTGTTCAGGAATGTCGAGGAAGAGCGGTAGGGACACATACACATGGCATAGGGATCACCTTGCGCACCGGCTCCAGTAGGAGCCGCGGCGTTACCTGCTGGCATAGTTTGTTGTTGGGGAACACTGTTGTTGTTAGAAGGCTGACCATAGTTGGGGTTATCATAATCGCGATGCTGGCCGCGACGAGGAGGGGCACCGCCCGAGCTCTTTTGTTTCTGTTGTTCGTGTTAGTAAGTTGCTGCAAGTGAAGAAAAGTGGGATTGTACGTACAGCCGCGTCGACCTTGTCCTCGATGGCACGCTTAGCGCGGTTAATAGCCTCACGGGTGCCAACCAAGCCAATCTCGCGCTCAGTCTCACCAGCACCAGACGACTGCGAAACGTTGATCTTGCAGCCGGTGGTGTTCTGCATCTCACGAATAGTCTCGCCGCCTTTGCCGATGATCATACCGACGGCCTCAGAGGGGACAAAGATGGAATCGTTCTGCTTGTCGTATCCACCGCCACCACCGCCGCCACCACCACCCATGTTGTCGTTGCGGGGAGGACGGTTGCCACCAGGATTGTTTCCGTTGCGGCTATCACTGTCGACAATTTCGAGAATCAACTCCTTGGCCATCTTGGCTGCGGCGGGGGTGCCAATAAGGTTGACAGGACGAAGGCCGTTAACGCTCTTATTCTCTCCGACGATGTTGATGTGGCAACCACTGCGCTCCTGCAGGTCGCGGATGGTCTCTCCACCACGACCGATGATAAGACCGACGGTCCTGTCAGGAACCATGATCTGGAGACTGTCCTCACCCTCCTTGAGAGGAGGAGGGGCGGCAGAGCCACCACGGCCGGTGTCGCGGGGAGCAGGTCTGTCAGCCGGGGCGCTTCCCCTCATTCCACTATCGCGAATGATGCGGTTGATCATTTCCTTGGCCTCCTCACGCTGAGCACGGGGGCCGGTGATCTTGCAGGGGCGGTACTGCTCAGTGGGGCTCGAAGGAGGAACGAACTGAACTCTGCAGCGGCTCTCGCCTTCAACACGACGAAGGTTCTCGCCTTGACGACCGATGATAAGGCCAACCAGGCTAGACTCGATCGTGATGGTTTCGGTATCGGCCTCCTTGCCCCTAAGCGGTGAGCGGTCGCGACCACCACCATGGCCTCCACGGGGGGAGAAACCTTGGCGTCCGCGGCCAGGAGAGAAGGAACGTTCACGTCCGTAGTCACGCGACTGACCACCGTGGTGGCCGTGATCGCCGCCTCTTCTTTCATCGCGGTAGGGGTTGACGTTGTCGCGGTACGATTCGCGGCCGCCGCGGGGGCTCCTGGAGCGGGCGCGCTGGTAGGGGCGGTTATCGGGAGCACGAGAATCGTGGGGGCGCGAGTCGTGAGGAGGGTAGGGTCTGGAAGATTGCTCGTAAGGGACGAGACCGTTCTCAGCGGCCATAGCTCTGGCCTTGGCGACAGCATCCTGAATGTCAACGGTGCCAGAGTTGACGGGGCGCACCGCGCTCAGATCGATGCCTCCACTCGCGCCAGGAGGAGGATAGTATCCTGGAGCCTGCTGGTATTGGGGCTGCTGAGGGGGGTAGGCGGGTTGCTGGGGATGGGGGTAGCCAGCGGGCGGCATGGGAGGCTGGGCCGGAGCTGGGAGGCCAGGTTGGCTCTGGGTAGGAGTCGAGGTGGCAGGACGCTGAGTCGCATCTGAGGAGGGAGGTCAGTACACTGTGAATTGCGCGCGGGCGAAATAGGGCTATTTCCGGGTAAGGAAAGAAGGGCGACATACTAAGGAGCTGCAGTATCGAGTTGATATCGGGTGCTTGAGAGGCCGCCATTTTGATTATTGCGATTTGGGCGATGTGCTTGGTGATACTGGTGTGGTGATGTTGGCGATGGATGACGCAGGTCAAGTCAAGCAAGACAAGCGGTGAAAATGCTGCTACGTAGTCGGAAAAGCAAGCGCGCAACAAAGAATGTCAAGCGACAGGCGGAAAAGGATTGTTGAATGGATGATAGGATTTCTGAAGGATGAGGGCGGCGGGAGAAAAGAGGATGCGACTGGAGAGAAAAGTGGCCGCCTGTCAAAATTGGACCTGATCTCAAAAACTCCCAAGTCGGTCTCTGTCTGTCAGGAATGGAGTGGTTGCGAAAAAAATAATAGCGGGGACTTGTGAAAAATAAGCGGCAGGCGGAGAGTGACCTTGGCAGACCGCCCAGTGACAAGTGAAGTCGGGGGAGTTCTCTGGTGCGCTGTGTTTTGCCCGTGGCAGCACTGACGAACAGTGGTGGCAGGTGCGCGCTGGGATGGCAGTTTTTAGGGTCGGACCAGGGGCCTTGTACCTGAGATTTCAGCGGGTTGTTTAGTTGCAGTGTTCAACGGCCCGGCAGGCACCAAGGCAGTCAGCGATGACGATGACGATACCTCTACCAATTGACCAAGCGATCAAAAGCCGACAATTGTTCAGAGCGCTCAATTCACTCAACGGTTCGATACAACGATTCAGTGCAATCAGGACGATCACTGTGCGTATCACGGACAAAGGCCTTGTGAGGTTGGCGATGAGAGTGTAGATGAAGGTGAGCAGCTGAAGCTGAGGTCAGCCCAACGACCTGACGTCTGACAGTCAAACAAGTGAACGGTCACAGAGATCAGAGCAGACGGAGCAGATCAGATCATCAGCTCGGACAGTCGCGTAATGAGGTTGGCTCAATGGTTTTTCATTCGACAATGATTAAGTATTCCTTAGCGCTCGCGGGATACGTTGAAGGGGGCAGAGAAATGGGGGACAATGGTGAAGGTTGGTTGTTGAGAAGATGGGTGATGGTGACAAATTGATGGTGTTGCGTGGAAGTTGGAGGAGTCAAAAGATGCCGTCGGCTGTCCTCTTGTTTCGTTGCAGAACGAATGACAAACTGACAAAGACCTTTTGAGCTTTGACCATCAAACGAACGACTTCTTGGTGCCTTGCCCGCTCAGCAGAAGGAATTGCCGGCCGGGACAACTCCAACTGGCGGCCAGGTGCAAAGCAGCTGTACCTGCATTAAACTGCAAACTGCCGGCATCTTTGCCACTGGCGCAGCACACAAATTCTGGGCGCAGCATGTTGCAACGGTCACCATCTCAGGAAGCGTGTTGATGCACGTGATGCCCCAAGCCCTCAACGTCACCTTTGACACTATCGACACTCTCACGATATGAATCCATTCTACGTTTCAAAAGGGTATTACTGTTTCCTTGGAGTATCTTTATGATAACTTTCAATGAACATATACGTCTCCATTCCTTCAGACCTGTGCTTGCCCTAGCTTGGGTGCACGGCTACTGAATGGCCCCAGATCCTTTCTCCAATCCACGAAGCACGAGACATCCTTCAGGAGAAATCCTACGGAACACTAGGAGCGAAGAACCACTCATCAAAAACCATTTTATCTACTCGACAGGGAGCAGCTCCCTTTCTGGGGCTGATGTTACACAGCTATGGGGAGACTACATGATCCTACCCTCTGCACAAAAATATTCACTTTGCATGTTGACTGATCGAACATAGCCCCAACTCTTCCACGAGAAACATGTCGTTTTCAATGACCAATCAGAATCAATCAATTGCTTCTTCCCAACATCGCTTATAAAGCATCATCTTTCCAGACTCACCCCGGTCCCAGACCAGCAGAGCTCAAAGCACCAAACGGCAGCTGGGGAATTGCAAGATTGCACAAGAGTCACCAAGTGGTCAAAACTCATCTACATGTAACCCCATGCATCCGGATGCAAGATCAAGCAGATGACAAGGTTCCCTGTCTTGTCTCACCTCGCTCACCTCTCGACCGTATCACAATCTACCTGTGTCAAGGTTCCGGTCATCATCACGGCCGGTCACCGTGGACAGACCAGGGGACATCGAGGGACGAGTTACAGTCAACAGCAACCAGAGAAAATTAGCTCTGTTACTGAGCTGCCGTTAGAATCTTTCCAGATCGACCACGACGAGACAACAACTTGCCTGTTTCCGAGACGATGGCAGATTCGGCTTGGACGTTATATATCACGCGGTTGTCCTTCATCTCCAGTCATGGCGCCACCACATCTCATCTGCATCTGTCAAAAGATCTGTCGTGCTTGACAACCTACGGAACCGGAGAAAACTGCCAGTCCTTCGATCGAATCTGACTCCTCGCTGACCACGCACAACCTTTCCCCCCCCCTTCCCCTCAACAGATTTTGCGGCCGTTTCGTCGAACCACACGTATGCAGGCACCCATGCCAGGGCCCGTCATCCATGCCCGACTTGACCATTTGCCAAGAACAACGTCCCAGCGGACAATGACTTCATTGTTCTCTCGTCAAGGTATCCTTGGAGCGATCTTGGACAAGATCTTAGTGGGGGCAAACGAACTTTATGTGGACAGCAAGGTACTGTGCATTGTGATGTTCGGATGTGCCAAGAACCCAAAATACACACTTCAGGTGCTTCTACGCAACTGGCAAAAGCGGATTGACGACCCGAATACCGTTGTCCGCAACGTCTCTCGGTGTACGATCCGAGAAGAGAAACGTTTCATATGTTTGCGGCGACGAGACGACCAGACTCTCGCGACTGACTGTCTGGCGTCCGGGGCCCAGAGATGCCGAGACAAGTCATGGAAATAACAAGAGAAGCAGAAAATGACCTCTCCGAGGTTTCTGTCAAGATTACTGAGCTTCGTATCAAGCTTGGTGCGACCACTCGAGCAGGCACAATCCTTCATCCTTCAATCTTTCAACATGGAGATCATCAACAGATCTGGAGGATACGACACTGTTCACAAGCTCACTGTCTTCGGAGGATCTACGGATCCCGGCTGCGGATGCAGCTTTCCTCGCAAACACCCAACTGAGTAAGGTCTCAAGAACACGGTGTTGCAGTGCTTTCTGATTATCCGAAACAGAAGGATTCTGTGATAGGTCGTCCTGGAGCTGTCCGTTCTTACTTTCCCAAGGGGTACCAACATGTTTCTGAATAAGACATACGAACGTTTGCGGGTCAAGTGTCCTCATTCTGAAAACTCGAGAATATCACATCACCAGCATCATCGTCGTGATTTGTGGCTTGAGCTCAAATATCTCCGTCCATGCATCATCAAACTTCCACCAATGTTTCTACCTCGAAATTGACCTGTTATTAGCAACCATCATTTTTTTCTCGTCGCCATTATCACCACCTCCTACAGAAACACTTGACAAACTTCTGCTGTTTGTTTACCCGTCCGTCTAGCTCCGCCACCGAGTGTTGCTGTTGCAGTTACACAGTTCTTCATTTGGCTAGAGAGCTGAGGTGACTGAGCTACTCAAACTTTCACGGCACCTTGCTTCTCAACGTCCTGTTCCGCTCCTGTTTACAGTTGCACCACCGAGGGCCAAGGACTGCACTGGACACGACTTTGGGCAGGGCAGGGCAGCACTGCAGACGTCAAACATATCACCGGCCGGTCGTATCATTTTTTGCCTCTGGAAGCAAAATCTGGACCATCTCCTTATCTTTGTGGTCGCCCCGGGACAACATCCACTCGTTTTTCGTTTCCTCTCTCCTTTTCTTTTCTAAACCCAACTGGCACAGTCCCTCCTTTCTCTCCTCTTTCCCCAAGTCCAGTGCCTCACTCACTCACTCGTTGTCGTCCCCTTGGTCCGTTTGTCTGTCTCTGGACAGCAAGCCGGCACTATGTTACCCTTTTTAGGCTCTTTAGGCACCTTCGCCTACGGCCTCCTGGTCTTCGCCCTCGTCATCCACGCCGCAACCATCAACCAGCTCACCCCAACCGAGCGCTACCTCCGGGACTCAGCCCCCAAGCTTCCGGGAATCAAATACTCCATCCCCAAGCCCTTCCTAGGCGGCAACACCAATGCTAACACCCGCCAACTCACCGTCTCCCGCAACGTCCAAACCCTTTCAGGAATCTCCCACTCCACCTCCATTAGCAGCAAGCACCCCATCACCCGCTCCGGCAACCGTCGCTCCGCCGTCTCTGTTCTAGGCCAACACCAACGCCGCTTAAAGCAAAACGCCATTCGCACCAACGCCCACAGCTCCTCCATCCGTACTCACGGCTCCGGCTCCGGCTCCAGCGACAGCGGTGATGACAACGGAGAAGAAGGAAGTGCGTACGGCTATGAAAACGTAACAGTAACCACCGCCTTCGGCACGCAATACGCCGCCGAAGTGCACTGGAACTCCGTCCCTCTACTCTTACTGCTCGACACCGGCTCCTCCGACACCTGGGCCATCACGCACAACTTCTCCTGCCTTGATTACTTGGGGAATGACGTTCCGCAAGAAACCTGCGGGTTTGGACCTGCTTACACACTACCTCCTCCACATACTTCCCCTGTCCCTGGCGGTGTTGGTATAAACGGTACCAACGGTACCAACTCCTCATCTACTTCCCACCCAGCCCCTAAGCCGCCAAAGGAAGAAGATCTGTGGAAACCCTACGGCCCTACAGACCCCCAGACGCACATGTTCATCCAATACGGCGACGGAGAAATCGTCACAGGGCCGATGGGTTTTGCTGATATTTCTGTGGGCAATATTACTGTCAAGAAGCAGCAGGTTGCGTTGGCGGAAAAGACCTTTTGGTTTGGAAATAATTTGACGAGTGGACTTATGGGGTTGGCGTTCCCTAGTTTGACGAATGCTTACTTGGGGGATGTGCCTGGTGGGAGTGGTTCGGGATCAGGGTCCGGATCGGGATCGGGAAGCGGAGAGGGAGGAGATGGTGAAGGAGAAGATGATGGAAGTGGAGGAGGTCTAGGAAACGGCGAAGGTCACGAATCCTATAACCAGCTTTATTACCCGCCCTTGTTCACGAGCATGGTTAACCAGGGCTCGGTACCGCCGCTGTTCAGTATCACGATTGATCGGAATGCTAGCTCGGGATTGTTGGCGTGGGGTGGGCTGCCGCCTGCGAAAGGGTTGGAGAAGGGGAAGGATGTGGAGTTGGATATGATCATTGTGAGTACAACGCACCCGGAGTGTTGGCATGCCCAATCAGAAGATGGAAACGAATTGAAAAGGGGAGAGAAGAGAGAGAGAGAAGATATGACTGACTAAAAGATCAACAGACGAACCTCATCGACGTCCCCGAAACCGCCTACGATTACTCATTCTACACCGTCATCCCTGATGGATGGCAATTCGGCCTGAACACCAACACCAGGAAATTCCCTTATATCGTCGATAGCGGGACTACGCTTTGCTATTTGCCTTCTGGTACGTTTCTCCCTCTGTCCTTCAACTTCCTCGGCCTTCCTTCCATTAGCCCTTCCGTTTTGCTTTCCCACCATTTCTCTTCCTTCCCATTCTCTGCTCTTCCAATCTAGTTATCCACCATTCCCGTCCCCCGTCTGTCTGTCCTTACATACACTCTTCCCTTGCTGTTCCCTTTACTCTATGCTACCACCACTAACACATCCCCAACAAAAACAGCCGAAGCACAAGCAATAAACCTCTCCTTCAACCCGCCCGCCATCTACCTCTGGATGTACGGCGCCTATTTTACGTCCTGCGACGCCATCGTCCCCCGTCTCGGCGTGATTTTGGGGGGCAAGACCTTCTACATGAACCCCATGGACTTGATCAACCAGGACATGGTGGACCCGCTGACGGGATTGTGCATGACGGCGATTGCGGATGGAGGCGCGGGGCCGTATATTTTGGGAGATGTGTTTATGCAGAATGCGTTGACTGTTTTCGATGTGGGGAGGGGGAAGATGAGGTTTTTGGGGAGGGAGTTTTATTGAACTTTGAACAGGTGTGGGGAGGGGGTGAGTGTGGTAAGGGGGAAGGGGTGGGCGGTGGAAGGCGTGGTGGTTTGGTAGACATGTGTTGTGGGAGGGAGGGACGGGGAAAAGTTGTTGATGTTGTTATGTTTCGGGTTTTGTTATCACCAGTTTAGTTCGTTCGTGTTGGGTTGCAGATAGACATAGGTTGTTCTGAAATAGTAGACTGTCTTCGGTCCATATTTCCAGGTCTTTCCACGTCGTATGAGGGTTTGTGATATGTTTCATGCTCTTCGTTATAGTTAACAGTCAGCATGAAATGTCGAGTGTAATAACAGTCGAACGGAGAAGCAGCGAGACATGCTCCTCCAGAGCCCATAGAAAAGACCTACACTCCGCGCATGCCCAGACACAACCCTCCCGCAGGTAACCTTAAGTAACTCTTGAAAAATACTTAAGGGCACATACTTCTACGCCCCTTATTTTTCCTATATCATATCCGAGTCATCGTCTATGTAAGATACCATCTGCATGGCTTCGTTTTCACCAACTTCTGTCTACGGGATTGGTTGGTAATAGACTTTATTTCGGTGCTGTCCTACCATTCTTTCAAGCAAACCTGAATAACATGGTCAAAGATGGTGGTTTTAGAGTCATACAAGCATTTAGGCTTGTAGGAGGGGTGGTACCTTGGATATAGTTAATTTTGGTCGCACCAGCGATTTATGTCATGTAGCAAGTGTATCTAAGCTACGTTTGTATTCTCTTACACCAGAGGCCATGGGCGTGCATGGGCAGTTTTCAGACGTGCAAAAAGAGTAGCTCTAGAATAGAAAGACATACCTACTACATTTCTGCCCGGATGTCCATTCATACCGTGTCCCGTCCCATTAGAAGCCAACGCCTGAGGTTACCCTTTGGATCTGCGTGTAAAAAGTCAAAAGGTCATAGGACACAAGTCAACGAATGACATAGGCATCCAGGAAACCATCACATCAGCAAAGCACAGCAAGTGAAGTAAGAATTAATTTGTTGATTTGAGCCCCTCCCCCCAGTTTTACTTTTTCAACCATCAACCAAAAAACGCCTTGGCAGCTTGCGTGCGAACAAACAAAAGCAACAGACACAAAAAGAAAACAACACCACTATGCTCCACACCGAAATGCCCGATGGATATCTAAGAGAACATCTTCTAACCAACAACACACAACACCAAATCCCGTCCCGCTAAGCTTCCGCTACGTTCAGCTCAGCTTAATGACGGTTCTGCTTCGGCTGGCTACCATACGCTCTCCTGCTCTGGGGCTGCTTCTTGTCGCGCGACATGCTGGAGGCGAGGGTGATGTCTACCCTGGGAGGAGTGGAGAAGCCAAAGGACTGTTTTGTATGTTAGTAACTGTCATAACAAAGGAAAGAAAGCGAAACAAAAAAACATACCTTGGCAACCTTGACCAAGTCAAGCTTATGGATATCAAACACGGACCGCAAGCTGTGCGAAGCATACGCATGAAGATACGACCTATACCCGTCCTTAGCGGACTGATTAAGGTAATAGTTCTGGCCAATCAGCTTCTCCAGCTGGCTCTGGACATTCAAGATCTTGCTCTTGGGGAAGTCGTATTCCACCACAGGAACCTTGGCGGCCTTGAGATGGGCGAGGAAACCCAACTCGTTAGGCTGGAGGAACAGCAGCGAGCGGCCCTTGGTGTTGTTACCACGCGCGGTACGACCGACGCGGTGGATGTAGTCGCGGGGATCATCGGGAGGGTCGAACTGGACGATCCAGTCGACAGCGGGGATGTCGAGACCACGAGCCGCAACGTCCGTGCAGATGAGGGTGCCCTGGGTGGCGTTGCAGAACTCGAAGAAGGTGTTGGTGCGCTTCTGCTGCTTCTGCTTGCCGTGGAGATCGAGAACCTGGAGGTCGATGTACTGGAGGAGCTCGGAGTAGTACTTGACGGAGTTGCAGGAGGAGAAGAAGACGATGACCTTCTTCTTCTGCATCTTCTTGAGGAAGGAGAAGAGGAGAAGGAAACGCTTGTCGGCGTCGACTACGACGTAGCCTTGATCCAAACCCTCGACTGTGCTGAACTGCTTCTCCTCGTCGACGTTCACGTACAAGGGACCGGGACGGAGCGAGATACGCGCGAGATCCTCGACTTTGGTGGTTTGTGTGGCGGAGAAGAGCATGGTCTGACGGTCCTCCTTGGGCAGGATCTTGATGATCTGGCGCATCTCGTCCTCGAAACCGATCTCGAGAATGCGGTCGGCCTCGTCGATGATGAGCGAGCGCATGTTCTTGAAGACGAAGGGGGTGTTTTGCAGATGATCGAGCAAGCGACCGGGGGTGGCGATGAGCAGGTTGACGCCCTTGCCCAGCTTCTCGGCCTCGGCGCGACGGTTGGCACCGCCGATGACGACGCCGTATGTTTGGGAGTGGTTCTTCATGAGCTCGCGGGCGACGCCGAAGATCTGGAGGGCCAATTCGCGGGTGGGGGTGACGACGATGGCGCCGGTGCCGTTTCTCGGCTTGAAGCGCAGGGAGCTGAGCATCTCGATAGCGGGGATCAGGAAGGCGAGGGTCTTGCCGGAACCGGTCTTGGCCGCGCCGAGGACGTCCTTGCCGGCGAGCAGAGGGGGGATACCTCTCCTCTGGATCTCGGTCATCTTGGTGAAGCCCATCTCGGCAATGGCCTTCATGGTCTTTTCGGACAGGTTGAGCTCGGAGAAGTCGGTGGCGTTGGTCGCGATGGAGGGGGCGATGAGGGAGTCGTTAGTCTTTGTGAGTTCGGGGCCGGCCTCAGCGTCGTCCTTGTCGTCGCTGTCCTGCTTGTCCTCGTTGCCGGTGGGGATAGCCTCGTCGCCATTTTGTTGATCCTCCTTCTCTTCTTCGTCAGGGGTGGTCTCCTCGACGGGCTGCTCCTCGACAACCTCTTCGGCGGCCTTCTCCTTCTTTTCCTTCTTCTCCTTCTTCACCTTCTTGGTCTTCTTCTCGGTGGTGGTGGTGGCGGCACCATCTTCGGTCGCAATCTTGGTGTCCTTGAGCTTGCGCTTCTTGCTGAGTTCGGAAGCCATCGTGATGGCTGTGGGGGAGTGTGGTGGTGGGTGGTTGGGTGGTTGCGATACTCTGGGGAAAAGAGGGTGTCGCAATGGTTGCTTCTCCCAGCAGTCGAATCTGTTATCCTTCGGTTCCTCTGCCTTCTCTGTTTCGCCGGGGATTTTTTCTTATCGCCTGCCCGATAACCAGGGATTACACCAGGCGGTGAAAATTTTGCCATTTCTGCCGACTTCCTTTGGGTGAGAACCTGGTCTGTGCGCTGCGTGCTGACCCCGTTTTTGATTGCAGATCACCCGAACCCCCGAACCCCAATTCAGCGCTTGTGGGAGTCGAGAACTTGTCTGTTTTTTTGTCTCTTTCAACCTTGGATCAAGTTCTTTTGATCACCATTGATGGGCGACCTACCCACTCTCTTTTACTCGTGAATCTTCGCATTTTGAGCATCAAATCTAGCCCACGGATTTCGGCCTCATGGTGATCCATTCTCGCCTGCGGGTTTTCGATTTGTCACAGACGTAATTCCATTCTCCGGACATGTGTTGATTCTCCTCTCTCACCGTGAGATCAGGAAAGAGGGCAGTCAGCGATGGTCTATGGAACGGAGACTACCAGATCTTCCCCCGCAGAACGACCTCCAAGGTCCTTGCAGCAGTTTGAAGTCAGACACCCCTCTGCCTTGCGCATCGACAAAATGATGGTGATCAGCTGGAAGATTCCCGGATGCTGGAAGATTCCCGGATGCTGGATACAGGACACGAGAGGTGAAGGGTGCCAGCACTTCGCTTCCAGGTCCTTGGGTTAGAAGTGCTACTCCGACCCAGATCCTGGGTCGATATATGACCGGATCAATAGCGGATAAATATCCTCGCGTCACCACATTGGTCCTTGCAGATTACATGGAAACCCCCGAATCCCTTTATTTTGTCAAGGCTGACGGGATGTCATCTTGCCCTTGTCGAAAAATAGCAATAACCTTCCCCACCAGGGAACATGATGTTTTCCTCACAGAGTCGGTCAAATTCATCACAAGTGTGGTTCAAACTTTGGTTACTGCTGCCTTGGGTCGTGCCATTCCATGGTCTTACGCTGGGACGGGTCTCCAATAGGAGGTATCAGCACGGCAGTTGATGTCTGTGACATAACCTGGTTACAATTGTCCTTTATTTCAGCTCTCTCTTGGGACATGGTTCTCACATAACACGCGACGCTCTCATATACCACGTCATTAACCTCGCGGCGAAGTCGCTCAACACCACAGACGGACATCGCAGAAATAAGTCAGGGGATATCTCACGACAGCAAGACACACCAGAAAGAAATCCTGTTTCCTAGAAAGATCTTTTGGCAGTCTTCGACACACGCCGTGTCTCACTTTCCCGTCCTTCTGCTGCCAAGTGGCGCCCCAGGAGGCGTAGACACGGCTCAAGCCGGTCGGGGTGGTATTATTGGCTTCGAAGGCGTCACAAGCAAGTCCCTAACAGGCAGCTCCACGCGGACATGATGGTGTTGAAAGTTGGATGTTGGATCTGTGGGAACTGATGTTCGCGACCGACGTCCGGATGCCCCATACGGGCCTCGAGGTCCTACTGTCAGCCGCAATATCGGGGATGACCTCAACCAAGAGCAACAGGATGAGATGAGGTAACGTACCAGAGGCGTGGTCAACACTTGGGTCTAAGGATGCCATGTCCGTGGGACTTGAAGGCGAGGGGCAGCGAGAGGAACAGAGAGACGGAGGCGAGTATAAGAGCTGGGGGTTCTTCACCTCTGGATTATCATCGACAGACAATCACAGCGACCTTCCTACAGGATTACAGAACAACAGGAAAGCAAGAACCATTCAGACACAAGACATCATCATGAAGCTCATCTTCCTCTTTACTTTCCTCATTAACCTGGCTGCGGCCAGGGAGACCATCAACCTTGACGACCGTGCCGTCAAACTCCCTCGCAAACAGACTTATCGACCTGGCAAGATCGATGGCGACTACATTTCTCTTCCATTGTCCAGATCCGAGAACGGTCCAGCCGAATACAAGACCTCAACCGACAAAACCACTCTAGTGAGGCCCGCGGTTACCCTCAAGAAGCTTCCTGATCAGTACATCGATGCCGGCCTTTCGAAGAGAAGAGAAAGCTTCCAAGCTCTGAAGCAACTCCGGAGACAAGTCTCTGCCGCAGACTTCTTTGAGTGTTACAACTCTGTACGTCTCACTTCCATACAGTCCTCTGGCTTCTCCTCACTTCCCAGTCCCTCATTACTTCTCTGTTCCCGAGTGCCTCGCACTCCTTTTCCCACAGTTCATATCCCAATTCCTCACTCCCATACCACCTCACCACAACCTCCCCTTGCTCCTCAACTCTGAACCAATACTAACAGCAAAAAAGTCCCCCACCCCCTCTCCGTCCGACTGCCAAACCCTAACAACCCAAGTCCTCAGCTCCAACCAAGACCTGATCGTGACCGCCAACGCCTGTCTGTTGTTTACCTATCGGTCATGCCAAGCCTTCTTCTGCTCACTGTGCACGACGATAAGCACCAGTACCGATTTCATCGGCAACCAGCTGGACACACTGGAGGCACTGTGTGTGGAGAATGGACAGATTGGGACTATTGTTGGAGAGGGTAGTGACGGGTGGGATGTTGGGTTTGTTAGTCCTGGGAGTGGATTGCCTAGTTATGATGTTTGCTGATGAGGTGACGGAAGTGGTTCTTGGTGCTGGGTTTGCACTTCAAGTACCTACTTATCTTGGAGAGAAGCAGCGAGAGAGATGAAACTTAAGGGTAGTGGGCGTAGAGAAGCGGGAGATGTTGAGCTTGCGTTACACCCTAGATCTAGGCATACAAGAAGAAGCAGCTCTTTGGCCTATCAAAACCAGGTTTATTCCAACTCTTGAAAGTTTCCTCGTACTTTTACGTCCCGGTCTTCAATAACAGATTGGCCCAGGCCTCGAACTACCTACATGTAGTAAACTCCTGAGGGCTGAAAACGAAAACAAAAGACATGGGTTGGAAGATAGTTCTGAAAAAAGCCGCCGGACTGCCTACATATCTACACTCTGCGTTTTTTTCAAGGAGGCACACATGGAACAGAAGATGGTTCATCAAGTTGAGAGCTGTTACCTGAATACTACTTGCTTGTCCTCTAAGACCCTCTGTCAGACTCTGTGTATAGAGATCATATCATATACCCCATACCAGCAAGAGAGCAAACAATTCCCAGAGAACCTCCCCTGCTCACAAGCCACGGTCTCGAAGGTTCCCTGAAAAGTCTAGAAGCAAAGAACTTGTACATACCAGCCAGCCCTGTTTCTTTCCCCGCGATCAGATCCAGATTCAGCAACCCGACCCAGGTCAAAGTTACCGGCTTGGCAACGAAGCTTGGCATAGGTAGGGAACTGTTAGAACCCGGTCCCGAACGTTGGGTCGGTTCGTCGTTTGATGTAAACTTTTCAGGGGCGCATCCGACTGGACGGTTGAAGATCATTCTTGGGGGAAGAAAATCGCAAGCTGTCACTTGACCTGAAAATTGGAACTTTTCCTTACTTTCTTTTCTGAATTTTTTTTTTCTTGGGTGGCTTGGCCCAGTCATCTAAGCTCCCTAGGTACGTAATCGTAGCTGGACTAAAAAAAAATCGTCCCAGTTGGAGCGGATAGAGTTGTGATCTCCAGACTTCCATGGGCCGGAGCAGTTCGTTGTGTGATCGCCCTCGTATCCCCAAAAAATTACGACGAAGTGAATATCCGCGGGTAGGGCAGTGGGCAGCGTTTACTTTTCGTAACCATCTCCACTTTTGAAGGCTCGTTCCCGATTTTCCCTATGCGTGATCAATTCAGCCTCAAAAGGAAGACATGGAGCCCATGTTCGTTTTTCAGTGGCCTGGCTAATCGAGCTGGTGTAAATCTGTGAATCTGTTAGAGGCAAAGGGAAAGGGACAAATCGGACAGAGGATTTGGGTCATTGGAAACTCATGTGATTCAACTGCAGTGTTAGTGAGGTACATGTTGGTCAGCGCTATTTTTGTCACGCTGAGCAAGTGCTACAATAACGTCAGTTGTTTCGGCTTTCCCAATTGCAGAACTTCCATGGTTCGTGATGACATATGTCTTCTGTCTTGTTTTTCTCCCCACCTGTTGTTCAAGTTTTGATTTGGTCATCTTCGATACATATTTGAGTGTTCGTATCTGTTTTTCGACTTTTTCCTATGTAATTCTCGTTTAGGAAGTTCCTGGCTGTCTACATGTGGATAGCACTAACATTTAACCAGTATTTCCCCCTGACAGCTTGGGTGGATTCTCTTGTGGAATTCATTCTTTTTTCTCGTTCAGGACGTGATTTCGAAGGTGGTTCCTTCTCACACCGCCCTTGAAGTCGGGTCTCGGAAAACGTTCACAAGAAATTTGGGGTCCTGGAATTTCCTGGTCATATGATCGCGCCATCTTCGAGAAAGAGAGTCATGTGAACATTTCGGATTTGGAGTTTTTAGAGAAGCAGATGCGTTTCAGACTGTAAATGGCACTTGCACTTGCACTTGCACTTGCACTTGCCGCGCCCGCACCGCCAACTGACGCGTGGGGTTCACCCTGTCAAAAAAGAAACGTTATAAAAATGTCGAAAAACTCGGGCGGCTCTTTCCTGGCCCGCTTACTTGAAGGAACGAGATGTTTGAGAACCGTGATGGCTTCAATCCTTCGAGGTTTGAACAGACCGGTTCCAGTTGTCTCTCCCGGTGCCTGGTAGTGTTTCGTTACATGGTCCGATCCGTGTTCATGTACCCCACACTTTTTTGTTGTTGGATTTTCCACCTTTCCCACGGCCACGGGACCATCATTGTACAGGACAGCACAGGACATGTTCCTGCAGCGCAGAGGCACAAGAGGAAAGCAGGAATGGGACGAGGATGATGGAACTCTAGAATGGCAGTGGAAGCGTCGAAGCATTGGTAAGTCGATGTTATTGCCCGTCTCGTGGTCTTTGGATGTTGAATTTGTTTCTTCCATCGTCGTTGTTAGCGTTACACCAACTCCGCGGCCTCCGCCTGGGGGCAAATGCACGTCATGATTGTCTTTTCTTTTCGGGTATCCCGAGCTCTTGGGCTTGGGAGTTTGTCGCTGAAATTTTGTCTTTTGTGTTGATCATCACGAACATTCAAGCTGCCCTTTGGCCACCATGGGATGAGACGGACGGATGAGATGCGATGCATCAGTGGCATGTGCTCGTGCTTCCGCCATTGTGCTTCCGCCATGCCATCCGGGGATGTTGTTGCTGCTGCCGTGCAGAACCGTGATTTGAGTTGGAGACGGGCGAGCGGGAAGAGACCCTGAGATCTGTCGGTCGGTGTTGCCGCTTCCAAAGAGTCTTTCTTTAACGCGCCAAGCGCCATTACCTAACTGAATCAAGTTAGGGAATGACTTTTAATAACATACCGCCTTTCGGCAAACTCCCACCGTTGACCCTGTTCTAGCTTTTTATTCTCAGATCTGCGATCACGGCCTGCTTTCTCCCCGCCCGAGGTTTTTGAGAGAAGGTCTGAACATGGCGGTCTGTCTGTGGAACCTTACTAAAGAACTTCAAGTTCACGTGTACTGCAGATTTTCTGTTTTTTATAATTGCTTATTCCCAAGAAGAACCACGTTGTCAATTTCCAAAGCTGAAGATGATATTTGCATTCGGACTATTTTCTCATTGGGAATCCGGACCTGCTCCAGTCTTGGCACGGTTGGTCAAAACTCGAAAGGTGGGTCGGGAGTTGAAACGAGTGGTTGCTGACGGGAACTTGGAACAGCGCCTAGAAGGCTGGAACCCTTTTGGCTGGCCTTGGCATGGTGATGCTTGGCGTGGTGAATGGGCTGTGACTCTGTGAGTGAGTCTTTCCATCTTTTCCCGCTAGACTCGCTTCACAAGCAGAGTCTTCCTTCCCATGTTTTTAGGCGAATGATGCCATCTTGAGGGTTTTCCTGCTCATGATCCATCTGAAACGTAAATCTGGAAAGGATTGGAAACCGTTGAGAGCTCAGTCGGGAGTCATCCATCTTTAATAAGGGTGAATGTTACACTTTGACGGTTTCGTACGTAACGGTCACAAAAAAAGGTACAACCCGGGCCGGGTTGACCCATTCGGGTGGACAGCCCAGTGGGTGCCTCGGTGGACTCCCACTGGCTCCCCTGGGCCTTGCCCGCCCGCCAATGCACCCCATTTGTACCCAGTGACACCCCATGCTTGCCCGCTTCAGGCCCGGTAATTCCACCGCAATTCCCGTCTTCCCTGAGAATTCCGATGAAGTGACGGAACCGCAAGGGACCGCGTGCTCCAACTCCCAAGGTCATCATTAGTAAAGAAATAAGAGAGTGAAATTCTTTTGGGATTGTGTGTTGCTATTTTGGACCTCAAAATCTAATTACGTTTGGAGACAATGCTAGTTGCTCAGCTGTCCTACACTAGAAGAGAGGAGTCCAGATTCCTTTACCATACCCGGACTTGTATCTACGTACTTTTGTAACAGAAACCAACCATGACCCAGGGCACCTTCTGCTAGACGGGTACATCCATCCATTACCACCATTACCTTATCCTTATCGATCCTGACATTCGCTTGTCATCCTATTCATTCAGTTCCATTCTTCAACATCCTCTTGTCCTCTTCACCTTATTACTTTTCTTCCCCTTTACACTACTTTCATCTTCCCTCCCAACTTTTTCCTCCGTCCCCCAAATCAAATTCGCCGCTGCCATTGCTGCTGCTCGCCAGAGATCGTCCCCGATTCCCGTTCGGATCTAGTCTCGCCGCCGCTTCCATCGCATCCGCCAACGACATCCAGACTTTCCATCCCCACGTTTCCACCCGCAACGCCCTGCTACGTCGTCGAAACAGGTACCCTTCAAGGCACCTTGCGCAAGACCAGCCTACCAACTGCCCTTGTTGTCAGCCAAGCAACCCAGAAGGCTCCCCCCGGTCACTGTCGCTACCCCAACTCGACTTGCCTCACGCGATCAACTACTTCACCGTACTTGTAACGACTTGACCACAACTACAAGAACTCGACCACTGCGCGCCCAATTCCGTACCTACATGATTTTGCAGTGCTCCCTGCCCTTCCTCGACCTCGATCAACTCCCAGTACACCAACACATCAGCAACCATGGCCCCTAGGACAAATGGCATCGGCGTGCAGGTTGAGAACACCCGCATCTGCGTGGTGATGGTGGGTCTTCCAGCCCGGGGAAAGAGCTTTATCGCCCAGAAAGGTACCATCTACACCATCTATCTCGTATCTTTTGATAGGGCTCAATTGCTAACTCTCGTCCCTTCCAGCGCAACGCTACCTCGCCTGGCTCTCGATCCCCGCCGCCACCTTCAATGTCGGCAACTACAGACGCACAGATGCTCCCCAACCGCCGGCCGACTTCTTCGATACCAACAACCAGGAGGGAGAGCGCAAGCGCCGCGCTGCCGCTGAGGCCGCGGTAGCCGACATGCTCCGGTGGTTTAAGAAGGGCGGAGTCGTCGGTATCCTCGATGCCACCAACAGCACAAAAGAAAGGCGCAAATGGGTACTCGACATCATGACGCAAAATAACATTGAGGTCATCTTTGTTGAGTCCAAGTGTGACGACGAGAACATGATCATGATGAACATTCGCGACGTCAAGACCACCAGTCCCGATTACCAGGGCCAAGATCCCGAAACGGCCGCTCTCGACTTCCGCAATCGCATACGCAACTACGAAAAGGTGTACAAGTCGCTCAACGAAGACGGCGACGAGGAGGATTTGACCTTCCTCAAGATTATGAACGTGGGGAAGCAAGTCATCATCAACCGCATTCGCGACTACCTCCAAAGTCGTATTGTCTACTACCTCATGAACCTCCACATCCGCCCTCGATCAGTATGGTTGTCAAGGGTACGTATCTCTGGTTGTGTCTGTCAATTGGTGCGGAATGCTAACAATTTGTAGCACGGCGAGTCTATGCTCAATCTCGAAGGTCGCATAGGTGGCGATGCCGAGCTATCGCACAGAGGTGAAGAGTACGCGCGGAAGCTCCCCGAGCTAGTATTAGAATCCGTTGGTGTACGTTACTCCTTGCCCCGCATTCTTTGTCTCACGAGGTCTAACATGTCATTCCGCAGAGCGACCGCCCCTTGACAGTATGGACATCGACACTAAAGCGCACCATCGCCACGGCGCGCCACCTACCAAAACACTACAACCAGTTACAATGGAAGGCCCTCGACGAGCTCGACGCTGGCGTTTGCGACGGCATGACGTATCAAGAGATAGCGGACCTTCATCCGGATGACTTCCAAGCACGCGACGAAGACAAGTACAACTACCGGTATCGTGGAGGTGAAAGCTACCGCGACGTGGTGATCCGCCTGGAGCCCATCATCATGGAGCTGGAGCGCAGCGAGGATATCCTCATCATCTCGCATCAGGCGGTCATTCGCTGCATATATGCGTATTTTATGCAGAAGACGCAGGAAGAGAGTCCCTGGGTGCCCGTGCCGCTGCACACGCTGATCAAGCTGACGCCGAGGGCATATGGAACCGAGGTGCAGACATACAAGGCCAATATTCAGGCTGTCAGCACGTGGAGGGGCAAAGGCAGCACGGCCAAGCATGAGGATCCTAGTCCCGAGAAGAGTCTTTTCCAGACTCACTAGGGGACCTATGAATGCGGAGAATAAAGAACGACTATATTTCACATACGCAAGGACGTTGGTATATAATACCCCAAGTTACTACTACCACGCACTATGCCACTCTACGCTACACAGTTGGGGGGTTCTTTCTACAGGCAGGCATTGGGAAACATTTGGCACCAAAGAAGGGTCTGTCTTTTTCTTCGAGCGGCGGCAAAAAAATGGCAAAGCGCGGAATCCAAGAAAGAGACGGGGGTGGGTTGCGGTTGCGGTTGCAGTTGGGCCTGGGCCGGTTGGAGTTCTTTAGGTGGTTTGGGTTTGGAATTCATCATCAATGCAATTACAGGCACTATTTGATCTGAACGATGTGCTTTGCAGTGTTTGTATGTGACAAAAGAATTGTGTCTGGTTGATCTTTGACCGTAAAGATATCACACGAGCAAGATTCTTAACAAGTTCTTCCACCATCGAACGTTCATCCCAAGATACCCCTCTCGGTGTAACTAATGCCCGCATTCCTGCTGTCCCTGGCACACCTGAGTACCGCCATTGCCGGTCGACTGACATACCGGAGTAGTGATATAGGAATTCCGATGGCGTGATTCACCTTATCTAGACGCCATCTTCTCAGTGCGGCTCAACATAGCCGGAGGGTGTTCGGGAACTACTCGGGATGTTGGTGATCATGCAGGACCGGTTCGCGGGTTGACGGGTAATTCGAGTGACGGGATGGTATTTACCCCTGATATCGTAGAGGAATTCGGGAGTTAGATGTCTCTCCCGCTCTCTACATCTGGGTTGTTCATGCAGCTGGTTTTCAGCCAGAACAATTACCCATCGACAATGGGTTATAGACTGGAAGACGTATAAGTGAGTATTAAAGAAGCAGCTGGCCCTTCCATATCGACGAACAAGGTACCATCCTGAAAAAAAAAAAAAAAAAACCTCGAGCCTCTTATCAAGACATCCAGCTTACTCGGCAGTTTCAGACCAGCCTGGGTGGTACTGATATCATCAGCACCACCACCACCAGCAGTAGCACCATCATCGTCAACGCCATCAACATCAACATCAACATCAACATATTCAAGCTACTCAAAAACATACCAAACCACCCAGTCACTCCATCATAACTTCACAATGACTGCAGCACTCTCCTCGGAAATATCTCTCCACCCCCTCCTCGATAACCTCCCCTCTTCCGCCTCCACAACCACCAAACAAGAGGAACCATCCCTCCCAGCCCTCCCCATAACCCTAATCTGCCACTGCCCCCCCTCTTCCTCCCCAGGACCCATCAAAGTCACCCTAACCAACCAAATCCTCCACAACCACGCCTGCGGCTGCTCCAAATGCTGGAAACCCTCTGGCGCCCTGTTCTCGGTAGTCGGGGTTGTTCCGTCATCTGGTCTCTCTGTTATCGCCAATGCGGAGAAGTTAGAGGTGGTTGATGAGAATGCGACGATTCAACGGTGGAAGTGTAAGGAGTGTGGGGTGCATTTGTATGGAAGGATTGAGAAACAGCACCCGTTTAGGGGGCTGGATTTTGTGCATGGGGAACTTGCTTTGGGTCAGAGTGGGGGTAGTGAGGGCGAAGGTGAAAATGAGGGTGGGGGACTGGGCGAGGGAAAGGTGGAGTTTGCTGCGTTTGTGAGCAGTATTATTGAGGGGGGGTTTGAACCACACGCGCACGCCAATGGAGATGAGGGTAAGGGTGGGAACATAAAGCAAGTTAGAGACAGGCTGAGAGAGATCTTTGGAGAAAAGGTGTATGATTGTTTGAGTCCCAGCTTGATGGATGTCATTGCTGAGTGGGAGGGGAGGAGGAGTGGGAAGTTGAAGGCGGTGTTGTAACTTGTAAGGATGAGAGGATTAAGGAGGAGGATAGGATACCTCTAGGATAAGGACTGGGTTGTTTGGGTTGCTGGTTTGGCAGGTACGGAGATGGAGAGGTATGCCAACCCTTTGGAAATGTTGCAAGGTCATGATGGTATTGTTGAGTTTCATTTTGAAAGAGATGATTCGCTTTCAAGTTGACGTATTCACAACAGTGATAATATTCCATCATCGAAGGAACGGGAAGAAAGATGTATGGTAGAAACGCAAACTCCATGTGATAAGAGACCCAAGTAATTTTCTTTCCACTACCTTGATTCTGGAGTCTGAACCTGATATCAGAAGAATCATGACACTTTGACCTCCGGATGGATGAGCATGTATGAGAACCAGATCCTTCCAGAGCCGTGACACAGAAGGAGTAAAAGTAAGAAGCCGTGAAGACGACTCGAGTGAGGAGGGGTAGGGCCTCCGTCAGAGGAACACCTCATTTAACCGCAATGGCAGGCAGAACGAGGTTGAGACATCAGCAAGTCAGTCAACTGACTTGCACTGAGGGTATGGGCGGCACTGCAAGAGGCAATCGGTTCTCAATTTCACATCTGTGAAAGGTGCATCCCAACATGAATTTCCATTTCGGCCCCTGTACTGAGACCTGGCTGGCACCCCGTCTTTGTTCATGGCATCCCCCCAAAAAATGCCAGTGAGCATTCCCCCATCCTTCCTCTTGCTTCGTGTCAGTTGCTTGCTCACGACAACAAATATTGTTCCGTCCGCCATTTATTCAAAGGTCGGGTCCTTTGCAATCGCTCTTGAACCCTCCGTGGCGTGTCGTAGGGTTAGGGTATGTCCCCGGCTGTTCCGTACCCAATTCTTGTGCACCTTAGGCATGCACTAACAATTTCCTAGGGCATCGTGACCAGGACGCTTGCAATTTTAGTCATCTAACCCAATTTGTTCTCTTTCATCACATTTCATCATCGTTGCCAGTGTTGGACATCTCGAAGATATCCACGCAAACCACTCTACAAAAACTCAAACAAACTCTCCACGGCCTGTTTGATATCAATCATCACTTTCGTCACGAACATTATCTCCCCCTCGCGCAATCACCCCAAATATTAGACCGCTGTTAACGCCGTTTGTCACTCAATTTCAACTCGAGGATTCTGCAAATCTGCTCATAATCTCATGCTCTCAATCTAAAGCACTCTGAATCTCTGAGCACGATGACTGCCAAAATGCTCGCTACCACATTACCTCCAAGTCAACTCAATCGTACTTCGACATAATTGTCATAAAGGCAATACCCTGAAGCTGAAAAACTCCATCCATCGCCCAGCAAGAATACCTGATCTCACCACCATACCTCCTTCACACCGATTACATCGCTTCCTAAAGCATCGCGATAGTCTTTGCTCTTCCTCCCCACTGGCACCTCATGCGCCCTCGGACCGGTTGCACAGCGCGAGTCATACCGAACATAAAACGACTCCGGGTTCCAAACGCCGTAGGTGACGAGGTGGTCGTTAATGACGGCCGCTAGGCGCTCTTCGTAGGGACGGCCGTCCTGCTCGTTCGTGGTGGTGGTGGACATCGAGTCAAAACTGGGGGAGACGGTCTCGGTTTCGGCGTCTGCTTCCGGGTCCGACAGCTGCTGGTGAGAAGTGGGAGGTGTGATGACGTGGACGCTACCGTCCTGTTCAACGCCGGCGTTGTGCTCCTCGGCATCGGCATTGGAATTGTGAGTGTCTTTAACGAAATGGTGAGGGATCCCCATCCTCGTGAAAGCCTCCTCGAGAACACGACGAGCCTCTTCTGCCTTTTGGAATGCCTCTTCATTATGATGGCAGGCCTCAACGAAAGAATATTCCTGACTTGTCCGAAGATGCTCGCCCTCAAGACCGACTTCTACCAGCAAACGATGGCCTTCCTCAGCGGTGCGCGTTGACGAGTCGTGGTAGTTCCATGCTTCTTGAAGAAGACGGTATCCTTCCTGGGCTTGAAGGAGGGCTTCATCAAAGTGGTGGCGGGCGGAGATCAGACATGGAGCATCTTGAGTGGGTTCCAAGTCTTCTGAAACGCCTTGCGAGAGCGAGATGAGAAGGTCCGCCTCTCCTAGTTGGCGGAAAGCTTCGGAGTTGTGGTACTGAGCGCGGAGAAGCGTGTCATGAGCCTGTTGAGACAGAAGGAGGGATTCGTCAATCTGGTGCCAGGCTTCTTGCATGAGGATTTGTTGCTCGTGGAAGGGAGTGGCTTTTTGCTCGCAAAAGGTCAGGGTGTTGTCGACCTGCTGGATACCCAATATTGCTCGAAGCCTTTCCTCCCCTTCGGCTTTGACTCGAGAAGCTGCAGCTTCGGCCTCTCGCTTGGTCTCTGCTTCCGCCTTACGTTGAGCCTTCTTCCGGCGCTTGACTTCTTCAGCAGCTTTCTTCCTTGCCTCTTCCCGCTCAGCCCTCTCGATGGCCTCTTGTGCCTCTTTCTTCAGCTGTTCAGCCGCCATTCTCTGCTGCTCACTTTCCTTCTTCTGCTGCTCAGCTTCTCTCTTCAACCGTTCAGCCTCCTCCTTCTCCCGGCTGACCCTAGCCTCCGCCTCACGTCGAATCCTGGCCTCCTCCATCGCCCGCCGAATAGCCTCCTCTTCTGCCTTGCGGGCCACCTGAGCTTCTCTCTTCAAGTTCTCAGCATGCTCCCTAGCACGACGTTCCTGCTCCTCCTTGGCCAGACGAGCAGCTTCGAGGTCAGCCTGGCGACGACGCTCAACCTCCTCAATAGCCTTCTTCTTTTCCTCGGCCGCGCGTTTCTTAGCTTCTGCGGCTTTGCGCTGCCTGACCTCCTCTGCCCGGCGCTTCGATTCCTATTCTGCTTGCTGCCGTTTGAGGAGGTCGGCTTTTCGCTTTGCTTCTGCTGCGGCTTTGGCCTCCGCTTCGGCTTTGAATTTAGCTTGTTCGGCTTTGAGGCGAGCTTTGCGTTCAGTCTTCAGTCTGGCTTCACGTTCGGCTCTGAGTCTGGCTTCCGCTTCGGCCTTGAGCTTGGCTTCGGCGGCCGCTTTCTCTTCGGCCTTGAGCTTGGCTTCGGCGGCCGCTTTCTCTTCGGCCTGATGTTTGAGCTTAGCTTGATGTTCAAGTTCGGCTTGGCGTTCAACTTCGGCCTGAAAAGCGGCCGCGGCTTGAAGAGCGGCCTCATCAGCCTTCCGTTTTTCGTCGTCGGCTTTTCGTTTCATCTCGGCAAGGCGTTCTAGTTCAGTCTGTCGCTTGAGCTCGGCTTGCCGTTGCTGTTCTTCGACCGTCCGTTTGGCTTCAGCCTGTTTCTTGTCATCAGCAAGACGTTTTGCCTCAGTCAGGCGAGCGGCCTCGGCTTTTCGCTTCTCCTCAGCCAGTCGCTTGGCTTCAGCTTGACGTTTCTTCTCCTCAGCTTTGCGATTGGCTTCCTCCTCTTTCTTGAGTCTGGCTTCCTCTTCCGCTTTGAGCCGAGCTTCCTCCGCCTTCTTCTTCGCCTCTTCAGCCTTGCGCTTTGCTTCCGCCTCACGCTTTGCTTCCGCCTCACGCTTTACTTCTGCCTCACGCTTAGCTTCGGCAACCTTCCGCTTCTGTTCAGCTTTCCGGTCCTCTTCAGCTTTGCGCTTGGCTTCCACCTCAACCAACCGTTTAACTTCCAGCTCAGTCTTTTGCTTGGCTTCAAGTTCTGCCTTCTGCTTAACCTTCAAGGCTATCCGTCTTGCCTCTTCCTGTTGGGCTGCCTCCTTGAGCTTCCTCTGCTCCTCCTTGGCATGCCACTCCTTCTCCGCTTGCAGCCTGGCCTCCTCCTCAATCTGCCTTCTCAGTTCCTCGGTAATTCGCTCCTCCGTTTTCCTCCTCTCATCCTCCTGCCTCTTCTTCTCCTCTCCCCTCTTCCTCGCTTCTTCCTCCTCTCGCTTCTTCGCCTCTTCCTCTTTGACCCTTTGAAGACGGGCCTCCTCTTCCTTGACCCGTTGCAACCGAGCAGCCTCATCCTTCTGCTGTTGCTCCAACCGTCGAGCTTTCTCTTCGTCGAGCTTCCTTTGGGCTTCGGCTACTTTGCGGTCGATCTTGGCTTGATGCTGGGCTTCGGCTTGGCGACGGCGTTCTTCGCGCGCGGCGGCTTCTTCGCGGACGCGGGCCTCTTCTTGCTGGCGTTCGAGACGCTTGCGGAGCTTGCGGCGCTCTTTCTTGGCTTTGGAAGCTTCTTTGGATTTATCGAGGGGAGGCGGATTGAGGGCGGAGGTGTCGGCATGATTGGATGTTTCTTGGGTAGGGAAGGGGGGATCTGTGGGGGCGACAGTGGGAGTGGCATCGGTCGCATGACTAGGAGCAGCTTCGGGAGCAGCTTCGGGACCGGTGGATGACTCTGCAGCAGGCTGTGAGACATCTTCTGAGGCAACGTTGTCGGGTTGCTTGGACTGAAGAACCGGAGTGGGATCTTGCTCCGGCGTGGTCTGACTTGAAAGTACCGGTTCTGGATATTGAACATCCTGAGGTTGAGGCTTCACTGCTTCTCCAGGTGCTTCCTGCTCCTTGACGGATGAGCGTTCGGCGCTACTTTGTCCAAGCTGATTGTCAAGAGCATCTTGAAGTGCGTCTTCAGGCAATGCCTCTTGACTTTCAGTACCCTGTTGTACATCAAGTTTCCAGCCAATCTCAAAGCCACCCTTGTCGCGATTTTCAACAACACCGATATTGTTTACGAGGGCCATGTTGAAGTCCTCCTCGGAAATGTCGGCTGGGAGCTCAAACATGCCAAAAAGCTTACTGCTTTCGCCTGCCTCTATGAGTCTGAGATGCTGGAGATATTGAAGCTTGGCCCAACTGCGAAAGGCAGCCTCCTCCTTTATGGGCAGACCGTACTGGCCGATGGACTCGGCTTCGTGAGCACCGGCACCCGGCTTCGGTCTAGCCTTCGCCATGATTTTGTCGAGGATATTCTTGACCTTCTCACGGCTGAATACGCCAGATTTCAGGTGTTCAAAGATCTGGGCTTTCGATTCAGCAACCACTTCGGCTCTGGTGGCCTTCTTCTTCTTTGATGCCTTTTGCTGCTCCTTCTTCTTCTTGTTAATTCGACGCTGCCTCTCTTTCTGAGCCTCGGTCCTTGTGTCAGGCTTCGCGGCCTTCTCCCCCTCGACATTTGTTGCCTCAGTCTTTTGCCGTTTCTTAGGGTTCAACCGCGAAAGATCCTTCTCGAAGTTCCTGTCCACCTTGTCCAACACATTCTCAGACCGACGGAGACTTGCCAATTTGCCTTCTGTCAAGAGACTCTGGCCATCCTTTGCCAGGCTACTGAACCCGGGCCTAGGCGGCTCCGGCAATGGTCTCGGTCTAGGGAACGGATGCAGCCCATGCGTCCTCCTTGGAGAAGAGTTACCCGATGAACTGGGCGTCGCATCGTCATAGGTACAAAAGCTCTCATTATGGGCATCACCCAACCCTTGACAACTAGGACAAACGTGCGGCGCGATGCCATCCACAACATCCGCGGTTCTGGGCGGTTCCGGATGATCCTCGAACCAGCCCTCCACCCGTCCGCTCAAGGCTGTGACCTCTTCCCACAAATCCTCTCTCCTGAGCTTTATCTCGGAGAGACGTCTGTTTCTTAGTGGCAATACCACCTCCTCACATTGATCCCAGTCTTTGGCCCAGTACTCCGGACAGCCTATCCACTTCATCCACTCGAAGTTGAGCGTATTCAGCGCCGCCAGCGTCACCCTGACATTGAGTAAAGGGTGATTGGCCCTGACCGCAATGCAGTAATCCGTGCTCTTGCCTTGGCCATAGCCGAAGTGTTTGCCTGGGTTGACATTCAGTTGTGGTCGGTTCCCTCTCCGACCAGTGAACTGCGTCGAAGACGAATCGTACCTCGGCGCGTGTTTAAACGACCGCAGGGGCTCAGGCTTGGTGAAATATACGTTTTCGTTCCAGCCCAGTTGACATCCCATGTCCCGGATCGCATCCAAGAACCCGTGCTCATTGGGAGTGATACCACCTCGCAGCCGCTCGACGTGGCAGTGGATCGCCATGAATGATAACATCCTGCCGTTCTTGGTCACCTTCTCCAGCCAGGTCTTGCACTCCCGCACAGTCTTGAAGTCGGGAACCTTGATGCCGTGGATACCTTGCAGGGCTAAGCACTCGCGGATGAAGTTGGTGAAGGCTTTGAGTTGTTTACAAGGCTTGTTGAAGCCTGGAGGCGCGAACCGCTCACAGTTAAGAAGGGCGTCGAATTCGCCGGCGAGGCCGTCTTTGCCGACCTGAGCGAGTTCCAGGATCAAAGGTGTGGGCCCAAAGATGTAGGGGGGCCATTGCGGGAGGGATTCGTGCCAGTAGTGACGGATGCGGCGGTAGTAGATGTTGGCGTTGGGCTCGATGAGGGACCATTCAACCTGTTTTGGGAGGGTGGTTAGTTATGGTCAACAAGAAGAGGGAAGGAGACGAAAAGGGGGTTGAAGAACTTACACCATCAAACCCATCAAACCACAGCGGCATAACCGGCGAAGTATCCGTCGTTGTCGAAATCCGAGTATACGTCGGCATGCGCTCCGGCACGGGCAAGTCAGGAAAACCATGGAGATCCTTATCCTGCTCTAACTTCCAGGGAACTACCGCTGGGGTGTATGACGCCGCGGTATATGGGGTCGAGCCATGCAGCAGTGACTCACGCGGGCCCGGCAGCGAAGATTTTTGTGCTGCGTATGGAGGGGATGAGCGTCGGGAGACATGGAGGGTAGGAGAAGAAGGACCGCGTAGAGGGCAGTAAGCGGGGGGAGAGTCTTCTTCGGGTGATAGCGGTCTGGGCTTGTGGACGTAGACCCGGGAAGAATGAGGCGGAGGGGTGGATGGCTGTATCTGAGTACGTGCCTGGGCAAGGGGCGGCTTTGGGTCGTGGTTTGGGGGCTACCATTTGCTCATTAGCCGTGAAAGTTCCCATGTCCGCATATTCTGCGATAGGCATTCCCAGAGTAACAACACGAGCTGCTGCCGCAGGGGTATACGGCGAAACTGGCGACCGCGGGGACTGCATATGGTCCTGCTCCGACTGCTCCTGAAGCTGCTGTTGAACCTCATCATCGGTAGAGGTATCGACAACTTGTCGCGACAGGTACCTCATAGAACGATTGACGTGGTTGTCGTTGTCCGGTTCTTCAGGCTCAGGGACGGCCTTTCCCTTGCCCTTTTCCTCCCTGGTCGGCCTCCGGTCATTGGTACCGTGGTCATCGACGAATAACTGCGAGCCGTCACTTTCGTCATCTTCAACCTCAAACTCGACCTCTCCAACTTGGCAATCTTCACCCTCGTCATATTGGGCTCCCACGCCCTCAAGATCCTCCTCATAATCAGGAAGTCCCTGGCCATCGTCAACGTCGACTCCCAGAGGAACCTCAAACGGATCGTCCTCAGGCAGCGGGACATCAGCCGGGTCGATTTGCACATTGAGCGAAGCTTTGGACAATGAGCTCAAAGTTGGCGTTAGCTTGGCCAGCGAACTCTTGTCGGGAATAGGGGCGGGAGAAGGGAGCAGGTCACTCCAGTCGATCTCGTCGAAAGCAGTGACGACTACGTCAGGGAGGTGGTCTTGTGACGACAGCTTGCCTTGGGCCTTGAGGTTCTCTGCGATGAACTTGTGAACGAGGCTGCTGCATGTGGGGGTGTGGGTGTCTTGTTCTGAAGAAGAGAGATCGGCAGAGTACTCGGAGACGGTTAGCGAGGGCGGGAAAGGAAGTTCGGATAGAGTCGGACCAACCAGGAAGGTATACTGGTGCGCAGCTTTCGGATTGTGGTCGATGTTGTTGTTGCTGTTGCTGTTGTCCTCCTGTTGGATGGCCTCAACTTGGATGTCGGCTGCAGCTCTACGGGCAAACGACGGCAGCATTGAGATGAGGGTGTGCTTCTCCTCTATAACCACCATCGACTGCTTCTCCTCTTCATCCTCCTCTTCCTCATCCTCCAACTCCTGTTCATCCAACTCCTCATCCTCCTCTTCGTCGTCCTCCTCCAATTGCGACCCTTCACCCTCATCATCAGAAGCCGGCAACGGAACAAGCGCAGCATTAACCAACGCCACTTTCGCCTGCGTGTCCTCTATCTCCTCGGCCATGACAATCGCAGCAACAGCCAGCGTATCCAGAAAAAAAGAGGAAATAACGTCATCAACTTTTTGCTGGTTCTGTGGGACTGTTGAGGAGGAAGTGCCCTCGTTGGCGGCATTTTCGGCGGCTTGGAGATCGGTCATTCTCTGGCTGATTTTGGCGAGGATGTCGGGGATTGTAGCGAGGGAGGAGAGAGGGTTGAGCTCGGGCTGGGGCTCAGAAGGGTGTGAGGGGTGTGAAGGATGTGAAGGGGGGTTTTGTGAGGACATGGTTTGGTTGTGGTCGTGGTCGGGTGGAGGGGTGAGGTTGCGCTCTTCACTGTTGGACATGGACATGAAGTCGCGCTTGGTGAAGTTGGTGCTGTAGTTGTTGCCATCGCCTATGGTTTTGGGATTGCCCATGTCGTGGGCGTCGTCGCTGTCGTTGCCGATCTCGACAAGTTGATCGTCCTCACGGGTTGAAGGTGCCTCTAGGGGAGTTGTGCTGCGCTCTTCACTCAAAGGTGGCCAATATACCTGCGTCCACCTGCATGGGGTGGGGACGCCGCCGCCTAGGACGTTAATTATCTCCTGAATCTTGGCGTTGTCGCCGATCTTAACAAGCTTACTACGAAGATCCTCCTCAGCTACAGTAGTCCAGTGTGGAGAGTCGGTAGGCGGGATGTCGGTTGGTATATCCTCAGCTGCAATAGCCCAGTGTGGAGAGTCGATAGCAGGCGGAATGAGCCAAGACGAGTTAGGAAGCGGGATGTCGGTTGCTGCAAACTCGCCGGGGGGTGTAGGCGGGGGTGTCGGCTCTTTTGACGGTTTGGAGAGCGACATGTTGTTTTGTGTTTACTTTGTGCAGCTTTTGCTTCTCGTCTGGTGTCGAGAGTTTGGGCTGGTTCTGGTTGTGGTGAGTAGAGATAAAGGTGAGTAGGTAAGTGGATGCAACGCGATGGGGTTGCGATGGTGATGAGCGATTGTAATTGTTTGGTTTGAAGGTCGTGTTTTGTTGAAAGAGAAGGTTTGGGATTGAGGAGTGAAATGGGAGAGCTGATCAAAAGGTCGAAATGGAAGTTGGTGAAGGTGAAGCGAGTGGACGTGAAGGGTCATTGACAATGAGGCACTGAATAGGAGGGTGTTGCGCGCCAGAACCACGGCTGGCAAAGCTGGCAGCTGTCGCTTGGGCAACTTGACAGTTGACGACGACGTGTTATTGGACGAAGACGCTCAGGTTTGCCTTTATGGCAGTGTAAGAAGCTCGGAGAAAGGTCAGGCAGTCACCTGCGATGCCAGGGTGAGAGATGGGATGGAAGTGGAAGAAGGGAATGCATGCGCCATGCGGAGGAGGGAAGGTTTCCGATCCGACGCCTCAGGCAATGAGGCCACCTACCTATCGATGCACTCCGATACCTAGGTAGGAGGCTGCAATGCCTCCTTGGCCCAACATCAAGCTTCTATTGCCAAAAAAAAAAAAAAGGTTGTGGTTCCGTGTCGTTGTTATGTACTTCGTTGTTCGTTAACCGGTCGCGTCTAAGGGACAATGATGGTGGATTGAATGCACTCCCGGTTCTTCAGATTTCACAGAGAGAAAGGCATATACGTCATGGGCTATCTAGAGTCCCGTAGCAGGGTCTACAACTCTCTTGACTCAGTACAACTCCGGTTATTTCTTCGGAAGCTTGCCATTTTCTCGGGGCAGCACGGCTCCATTTTCGTTTCTCGCGTGAACATTCTGAGAATATACACGCATTCCTTTACATACTCACTACCCCTGATGTCAACTTCCGCCCATTTACTTGCATGACCAGTATTCTTTTCAAGGGGTGCTGCTCTTTGCAGTCCAAATATGATGGTACTGCGGGATGCTAGGGTCTAGACTAGAGGTTGGGTTTAATCGGTCACGGATAGAGGAAGTGAAATGTAAGATATTTATTGAAAGCATTCTTTCATGGCCCCTTATCAATTCCTTCCTAGTTCGCCCAAGCACAGCCTGCGTCGATAATGCGGCAGCGCTGAGTGTCCTCAGTGCATCTGGCATACACCGACGCGCAATTGAGACCCTGCTTGATCACTTGATTACAGGGTCAATGTTCAAACCATCCCCCAACGTTGTGGGGGAAAAAAAGTAAGTATAGGTACATCAAGAAATTGAGCTGAACATCCTCACCCAGGTCTGCATGTTCTACCACGTCTGCAAATGATGGTTCTATATATGAGTGTCCCGATGGTCCAAGTGAAGGCGGCCCGCTTCGGGAGACGGCGAGCGCGGGCCACCAAATCCCGGCAACACAATGGCAACACACCCGGCCAGCACGGCCCCCAGCTTCCGATTCCCGCACCCTCTGCCTCCCGTCCCTACCATAAGGACCAGGATCACAAAACAACCCCCGAATATTAACCTTTCCATCACGGTCGTCCAGTAGCCTACGTGGTAAGTAGTGCGCTGGGTCTAGAAAATGCGTTGGTGTTGTCGTAAGGTAGGCAGGGTCACGGGCAATCTCCAACTGGACTGAACCTCTAAGTTCGATCGTGACCTATGAATGTTGTAAACATCAGCCAATTAGCCCCGAATCCACCACTGACAGCGCTACAAGTCCCAGCGGCGATGGTGGTGATAGCGGCATGGGGCGGATCTCGGAATGGGACCCTGCAGGCCTCAAAAGCACAACATCGACGCCAAGGCCTCCAGGGCCTCCCATCCCAGTCCCCATGCCCACTGTAACGCTTCGCTTGCGAGATCCCTGGAGGGCTCCCACGGGCATTCCGGGGCCCTGCACTCTTCTTTTGACTTCATCTCACTTCGTCTTTTGTGACAAAAACAACACGAGATGAGGCCGCTCGAAAGAATCGCCTTATTCTACCCGCTTCCGCCTTAACAATCAGATGTTTTAGGGGTGGAAAGACATCATCATGAGCCGCATCGACAACGGGCTGGTGGAAGCGACGCGAAAGTTGAAGGTTGTGGGACTTGAAGAATCTTATCATGAACGTGACCCCGCATCACGATCACGATCATCATCACCATCATCAACAGGATCACCAACATCAGCACCATCGACGCCAACCTTACAAGGAGATACCAATGACAACAACTTCGAGGACGGCAACGACGCAAAACCACAAGCAGTCTGCCCCTCCTGCCTCAACCTCTCCTACCCGCTCTTCCGCCCCTTCGACTCGCACCCACCAATCCTCAACTCCTACAACCACATCCAGATTTCCCACTCTGGGTCCCGCTCTGATTCCCACTATGGTTCCCACCACCACCTCCCAACCCACGCCCATTCCCATTCCACCCTCCCACCTCGCTACCTTTTGATCGAGTATCACGACCTCCTGCGTACATCCGGTCATGATCCCAACAGCAACAGCAATTCACCAGCATGTCCCTACTGCCCCCTCTTGCACAAAGCCATCAACCTTTTCTGGGACGACGACCCATCAAGTTACTACATTTCCAAGGCGCCGGTGGCGGATGCGAGGAGTTTCAGGAGGATTTTGTGTTTGACCCAGCAACCTGCTGCACCACCTTCTAAATTGGGGGAGCAGGATGGGGTTGTTAGGGAAGGGGAAGGAGAAATAGGAGGAAAAGGGGGAAGGCTCTGCCTCTTCAGAGCGCTTTTATACGACGATTACCCGGATGCGACCTTTCCACATGCGTTGACGGTTAGGGATTCGACGAGTAGGGTTGAGTTTTATCATTATCCTTGGGATTTGGTTGACCTGCAGAGAAGCGCAGAGGAGGGGGCAAAAGAGCAAGGAAAGGGGGAGAGAGGGGGAGGTGAAGGGTTGGGAAAGGGCGGAGACCAAGCATTGGAGAATGAGGGAGTCAAAGGGACGGATGAGATGGGAGAGGGCAGGGTGACTGGAGAGGGCAGGGTGACTGGAGAGGGCAGGGTGACTGAAGAGCCCGAAGAGGTTAGAGAGCCAGGAGAAACATTGGAGGGCAGAGAAGACAAGGAAAGCACGGATGCGGTCGATGAAGAGGAAAGGAGGAAAGTAAACGACCGAATGGAGCGCGAAGAGGAGAGGAACGAAGGAGTCCAACACAACAATCCCCTCCCGCTTCCACACCCAGCAATCAACTTCGCCAACCACGTCCCTTACGCCATCACCCTGGACCGGGTCGTCCGTCTCGCAACCCGTTGGCTTTCCCAATGCGACTCTTCACACCCCAAATGTGCTCCCGAACCTCACACCCTCCCGCGCCGCCTCCTCGACCTCCGCGGCGGCGTCAGATTAATCGACACCACCACCTCTCCCTTTTTCTCCCCATCTTCCCCTTCTTCCTCTTATACTCCCCCAGAATACACAACCCTCTCCCACTGCTGGGGCCCCCCCTCCCCCACGCACCCCCTCCTCACCACCACCGTTTCCACCCTCCCCATCCACACCTCCCCATCGGGAATCCCCTGGCCGACCCTCCCCCTTTTGTTTCAGGACGTAGTCCTCCTCGTCCGCTCCCTCGGCTACCAATACCTCTGGATCGATTCACTCTGCATCCTGCAAGATTCCGAAGAAGACTGGTTGCGCGAAAGCGCAAATATGTCGTCGATATATGCGCACGCTGCGCTGAATATCGCGGCTACAGCGCAGCGGGATGCGAGTGTTAGTTTATTTCGGAGGAGGTTTCATGGGCAGGGGTTTCGGGATTTGAAGATGAGTGTGACGGGGAATAACAGGAGTTTGAGGGCGGGGATGGATACTGTTGAGGTTGGGAGTTTGCCTCTCTCCCTACCTCTGGAAGAAGGAGAGGGGGTGGGGAAAAGGGAGAGTAAGGGGGAGGGGAAAGGGGTAGGGGAAGGGGACAGGAAAAGGAGAGGGGCAGAAGGAAGGGTACAGCACCAGCAACAAATACAGCTACCAGTCTACGCCCGAATAGGCCACGAACGAAGCCACGAAACCCTCTTCGGAGAAGTCGAATACTTCCGCACGCTCAAGGAACCCATCCTCAGCAGAGCATGGGTCTTCCAAGAACGCCTACTAAGCAGACGAACCCTCCATTTCGGCAGCAGTGAAGTCCTATGGGAGTGCAGAAGCGGATGTTTCTGCGAATGCGGCGGGATCGAGAGGGGACACGTGTTGAGTGTGCGGAACTTGAACAACAACGCTGCTGCTTGTTGGAGAGCGCCTGGCACGGGGGGCAGTAGGGGTGCAGATATTGAGGGTTCGGGCCTGTTGAGTCCCCCGTTGCCACTATCGCGGTCATCAACTTTCGACACGGACTCGCCATCGTCTCTAACCTGTGGAACGATACCGAAGAAGGTATTATTCGCTAACCTCACTTCTCCTGGCCCGCCGGAGACGGAGACGACAAAAGACAGCCGTCTCCTCCACGACTTCTTCCTCCGCTGCGTAGAAGAGTACTCCTTCCTGTCCCTAACCAAAGAACTCGACCGGTCCTTTGCTTTAGCCGGCATCGCTAAGCGAATCCATTCTCTCCTCGGCCCTTCGGATCGATATCTCGCCGGTCTCTGGCTGCACGACTTACCAAGGGCGCTGCTGTGGCAACCCTACCGACACAAAAAGGTGCTTCGGGCGGGTGACAAAATCCCTACTTGGAGCTGGATGTCGCGCTCGTGTTATCCGGTGGAAAACACGGCGGCGTATCATGGGAAGGCAAGAGGGCACTGGCCGACGGCGAGTAAATGTAGTGTGCGGTACAAACACATTACGCGCTCGGGGTACGAGTTTGAGGTTGATGAGCGGCTGGAGGTTAATCCCGACCCGACAAAGACATGGTGTGAATATGAAGGCGGAAGAGTTCGGCAAGTTAAAAAGGTGGACAGGTCACACTGAGGGCAGCATACCGATGGGGAGTGGTATGGACGACTGGGACCAAAAAGAGCAGTCATGAGTGGACGGGGAGGAATAACTTGGTGGTAGCCATTCAGTATGATAATGGCAATGGGAAGGATGATGGTGATGGAGGGGAGGGCGTTTTGGTGCCCATGTTGCCGGACTGTCCTAGACATGATGACCCGGGGAGTGTGGCGCTTATGGAAAGGGTGTTGGTGGTGTTGTTTGGTGGAAGGAAGAAGAAGACGCTGGATGAGGAAACGGGAGAAGATGCGGATGGGCCGCAGTTCTTTTTGGCGTTGAAAGAGGTGGAAGGACGGGAAGGTATGTTTCAGCGGATTGGGTTTTTGGAGTCGGAGTGGAGGATTGATTTGTTTAAGAATGCCGAGGTGCGGACCATTACCTTGATTTGACGGAGATGAATGGCGGCGAGATGCCCGGACAGGAACCGGCGTCTGGTGGGGCCGGTGCGGCCAATGTGGGACCAGCAACCCGAAGGGCGGGACCGGGAATCCGGGCGGTGCACGCCGGACAGCAAACAGCGACGACCCAATATAAAACTCGATGGACCCTTCCCAATGGAGGCCTGTCCTCATCTCAAGGAAATGTCCAGGCGATAGGCGTTACCACTGTGACAGGCCAATGTCCTACCAACTTTTAACTTGGAGAAGCTCTTAACTCCGATGGCGAACATGCACAGATGTCACCTCCGATACCCTGATCAACAGCAGTTTGACTGCCAAGACAGCTACAGCAGAAACAGCGAGGGGTCCTTTGTTCAATGTTGCATCAACAGAAACGACATACGGCCAATTGAGACTGAGCATGAGATGACATATGGCGTCACTGTGTCTCGGGGATCTCACTGGAGATAAGCCCACCCGGAGCGGCCGCTCGAGGGGTCCGTTGTTTAAATGCTGCTTATCGCCGAAATGACTTGGCGATAGGTTACCTAGAGAGTGCGAGGATGAGCCCAATGTCAACGCACAAAATTGGGCAAAGAAACGATATATAAAGGGAGGGAGGGATGTTGTGGAATATTTGTTTCGAGAGCCCTTTTTTTTGTCGCTCAAAATCTCTCCATTAAGAGACCCTTTGACAACGCACTCACCTTTGAAAGAATTGAACTTCAATTCACAACATCAACCATCACGCTTTCACTGCCCATTATCAAGATGGCCAGCAACGCCACCACGGAACCCGACTCATCACTAGTCTGGCTCATAACCGGCTGCTCCTCCGGCTTCGGCATCGAATTCGTCCGCCAGATCCTCGCCCGCGGCGACCGCGTCATCGCTACAGCCCGCAACCCCTCCAAGGTCGCAAATCACCCAAATCTCCCTCAGGCCGATGATCGTTTATGGCTACTCGCACTTGATGTGACCGCGAGTCAAGAGTCCTTGAATGAGACCATCGCAATTGCTATCAAGATATACGGGAAGATCGACGTCTTGGTGAATAACGCTGGCTATGTGGCGTTGGGCGGTTGGGAGGACTTGGGATATGAGGGGTTCGTCAAGCAGTTCGAGACCAACGTGTTCGGCCTGATGAAGGTCACCAACGCGGTACTTCCGCATATGCGAGAGCGTAGGACGGGAACGCTGGTGTTTATCAGTTCGCTTTCGGGGTGGAAGGGGGATGGGTTCTGTGGAGCGTATGGGGCGAGTAAATTTGCTGTTGAGGGTTTGTTTTTCCCTTCTTACCAAAGTTCTTCCATTGGCACTTGTCGTGTCTGTCATATAAAAAAAAACCAACTGCTGAGACACTGTTGATATACGACAGGAATGGTCGAAGCCCTCCAGGAAGAAGTCGCACCACTCGGCATCCGCACATTGCTCATCGAGCCCGGAATGTTCCGCACCAACTTGCTGTCGCCCGGCAACGTGCTCGGCAACGTTTCCCAGATTGACGATTACAAGAAAGGGTCAGAAGCGATACTGGGTACCTTTGCCAACGCGGACTTGAAGCAGAGAGGTGACCCGGTAGAGGGTGTCAGGATTATCTTGGATGTTGTCCGCAATGAGGGGGTTGCTTCTGCTGAACAGCAGGCTGAGCGGAACGGGCCTCTGAAGTTGAGGTTGCCGTTGGGACCGGATGCTTATGAGACTCTGAAGAAGAAGTGCGATGAGACGTTGGAACTGTTGAGTGGGTGGGAGAGTGTGGTTAAGAGTACGGATGTTCGTGAGTGAGTGAGTGAGGGGAGTGGCTAGATGCTTCCCAGAGTCGGATTGCCCGTCTTGTTGAACAATCCAGACGCTGCGATAAACTTTACTCAAAGTCATTTTCATTCGATGCCCGTCCTGGTTCGACCTCGGATTTCACCCTCTGGACGCCTCAGTTTCGATGGCCAGCTGAAAACAGCTGAAGCGCCACAAATGCGGCACACTGGGTGTTGCCTGACTGAGGATCGCTGTACGTCGGATTTAGGGTTAGCAGCCTGGGAAGACAGCCAGCCACTTACATGCTGTAAAGCTGGTCTGGAGTCCGAGAGGTGAGATTTTGGCTTTGGGTGCCGACAGCCCCCCGCTGAGTGAGACCGATGACGCCAAGAGGTCAGATTGCCGTTACCTGGTGTTTCCATTCGTCTGGGATGCGTGGCTGAGGCGTTTAGGTAGCAGATTGTTTGTTAGATATCGTGTGCAGTGTAGGGCTGAGGAGATGTCAGTCAACTTGGTTTCTGGTTCATGGACGTCAGTCGAAAACTGGTATAATTCGTGTGTACTTCCCAATGCCGATTCCCTCCTTGCTTCCCATCTCCATCTTTTTTCCACATTGCTGTAACACAAACACTTCCCATCATGATTCCCATCCGTCCCGTCATGGTAATGCCATATACTACTCCCATGCAGAGATCTTCTTACCAGAAGATGGGACCCCTCCAGACAACTGTCTCATTTCGACTGGACCGGCTCTTAGCATTGGGTTTGCTCCTCATTTGTCTGGTCGCCGTCTCATTCGGCGCTTTGAGAACCGCCCAAGAATCTCGAGATGGACCGGAGCGCTCATGGCAATCATTGTGGGAGACCGTGTTGCAGCACTTCGACACTCACTCCTTGGGCATTTTGGCGACATGGGGAGCGATAATTGGTGGTTTCCTCTTCGTTGCGTAAGTCCCTTGTCCAGAATGGAAATGTTCAATTTCCCGTAGCTGACGACATTCAGGAACTGGGTGGAAAGGGCAATCGTTGGGCTGGTGCTGGGTCGAATGGTGTCATCGGGACGGGAAGGTTGTGGCCGGGCGGGTGGTTGCGCTGACCTGGCTTTCCGATGATGTGCGGCAGCGAGAGACGAGTTCTGGATGTAAGAGTCGGGGGAGGGACCGAGGTGATATAGACGGATTTCGCGAATCAGGATGACGGGATTGCCTGGTTGTTGGTTTTCTAGAGGCATTGTGTGGTAGCACAGCGAGGCGCAGTTACCCCTGCAGCTGTTCTTACGCCGCAGCGAATAGCACTAGATATTAGATTCTATAACAGATCTCAGGCATGTTAACTAGCTTTCCTGCTAAGGTCACTATCCGCACTCCCTGGATGCCTGCTTCCACCCACAGTGAGCGTTTGTGGCTGTTTTGTGACAACTCATCCCGTCCCTGGCATGCTCGAAATTCCCACGACGTCCAATTGTCCAATTCCATCTTCACCTCTTTCAACCCTTCAGCTGTCATCAAGAGGCCTCAACAAACAACTCCTCCACTACCATCACCGGATTAGTTCTTGTTCCAATCTTTCATTCAGGCTTCAAAGGCCTCGGTATGCTCTTCCCCACAGCCTACCGTCGTGGCGCATTTCTCTTGGTGCACTCGACCAACTTGGCCGACTTGGGTTGATGGATTTTTCCTCCGCCTTCGTGGATCAACATCTTAACGGAGCCTCATGACGAATCCATGGAAGCAGAACCATTCTACACACTCTGAATCATACACACCTACAACATTTCAACACCACGATTGGCGGCGCAGCTGACACCGGTTATGGGCTTATCGGCTAGCGCGGAAATGGAGATCAGGCAGGAGAAGGGAACCGGGAGAAGGACATGGTGGATGAAGCTTGGGGATTTCCACGGACTACCAAACATCTCTTCTGCCAGAGCAGGCTGTCGGCGGTGCGGGAAAGATGGGTGAGATGAACACCAGACGGCGGCGACGAGGCATACACGGCATTGTCAATGTTGGGTATATCTATGGCTCGATTCCCATGTCTCTTTGTTCGGACAGCATCGACCAGCAGACTTCCCACCAGTCTCCAAAACGCAACATGGATGAGAAGCAAGCAACTGCGCGCCGCCAACCGGCTTACAAAGAACCCGTCTCTGCGACTGGCTTTACGGTTTTGTTTGAGCCCCTGGAGCCTTCCATTGAGTGCGACTTTTCCTCTCGAGCTCACTTTGTTTGTGATCTACTCCTAACTTCTATCTCGTCACAGTGTTGTATTTGTGCACGGATTCACCGGTCACCCCGAGAAAACATGGACGCACAAAAAAGGAGCCATGTCATGGAGTGCGGCCCCATCCGATCCAAGCGAGCCTCCCCCCAAGAGACCAAGGATTGCAACCCTCCTTGGATTTTGCGGCCCTGCAAGACAGAAGCATGCTCCGCTGTACTGGCCTCGCGATCTGCTTCCTGACACCTTGCCGACCGCAAGGATCATGACCTACGGCTACGATACGCGTCTAAGCCATCCCTTCCAGGGCCGGGGCCCTGCGCCCAAGAGCAGTGTCTACAACATGGCCTGGAACTTTCTTTTGCAGTTGGAAGCAGAACGCCACGCGGATCCGTCCAGGCCTCTACTATTCGTTGCCCACAGTCTTGGTGGTATCCTGGTAAAGGAGGCCCTACGCCGCTCGGAACGCTGCAAATCATCTTTGAGGGACGTTTTTACGTCTACCACTGCGCTCATGTTCTTTGGAACCCCCCATGGAGGAGCCGATCCCCGGGGAGCCCTGCATAAACTTATTGAGCGAGCCATCCGAGGAATGTGCGTTTCTGTCAATGATAGTGTACTTGACACTTTACTAGGCAAATCCGACAGACTTGAGGAGCTACGAAACGAGTTCAATCCTATCGCACAGGAACAGAATTGGCCAGTTCATTCTTTCCAGGAGGAACTTGGTGTCAAGCTTTTATTCAACAGAAAGGTTAGCATGCTATGCCCCTTCATCCTCATCAACGATTCGTCTTTAACTGACGCACTCCAACAGGTTGTTATAGACGCCGCATCCTGCCTTCACATTGACTCTGAAACGAAGCAATACATCACTCGCAACCATATGGACATGTGCCGCTTCAGTGGGTATGACGATGCCGAGTACAAAAAGGTGGTCTATGCCATCCAATGTCTGACAGCCCACTCGTTGGCCAGACGGTCAAATACGCCGGAAACAGTCTCCCTCGGCCTCGCAGACTCACAAGCCACACTGTCCAACTACCCGGCAAAGCACCAGTTCACGAAAGAGGAAACCAATGCCTTGATCGAAAAGCTGAGATTCCCGCATATGGATTCTCGGCAGATGGGTGTGAGGCGTGCCCACATCAAAACTTGCACGTGGTTACTCGATTCCGCTCAGTATCGAGACTGGCTGGACGATAAGAAGCTCGACGAGCATCGTGGATTTCTGTGGATGAAAGGAAAACCAGGAACGGGAAAGTCAACCATCATGAAGTTCGCCTATCACGAGTTCCGCGAATCTCGCCTTGGCAATGAAACAGTTATCCTCTCTTTCTTCTTCCACGCCAGAGGGACCGAACTAGAGAAGTCCACGCAAGGCATGTATCGTGCCTTGTTGGTTCAGCTGCTCGAAAGCATACCCCACCTCGCATCTGTGTTTGCGCTCGTCGGGTTGAGATCATCGCATATCCGCAGTGAAAGTTTCTGGACTTTGGAGTTGTTGGAACAACTCTTTGCAAAGGCCGTCGAATCTCTTGGGACTTTGTCTGTGGTCTGCTTCATTGATGCCCTGGACGAATGCGAAGAAGTTCAGGCGAGGAAGATGGTGCGATCACTGGAGCAAATCGTCGCAACAGCAAACCTCTCCGGGACAAAATTCCGAGTCTTCCTTTCCAGCAGATACTATCCCCAGGTCACGATGGGGGTTGGCTTGGAGCTTCTATTGGACAGGCAAGAAGGTCACCACCGAGACATTGAGGCGTTTGTCGAGAGCGAGCTGCGGATTGGAAGTGGTGCTCATGTCGCAAAAATCAGAAATGATCTGGAGAAAAAGTCACAAGGTGTCTTCATGTGGGTGGTCCTCGTAACCGACATTCTAAGCGCCGAATTCGACAGAGGCCGCGCTCCGCGACAGCTTCAACAGAAACTGATGGACATGCCGTACGACTTGCACCAGCTTTTCCGCGACATCCTCATGCGTGATTCAGGCAATCAAGACGACTTCATACTCTGCATGCAATGTTTGCTTTTTGCACGCGAGCCCTTTGACCCAGAACAGCTTTACTCGACAATGCAGATGGCCCGCAGTGATGATCTCGCTGGGGGGCTTGAGGAAATTTCCTCTGAGACGATCGAAAAGTACATCCGAAACGTCTCAAAAGGCATGGCAGAAGTGACAAGGTCAGAGAGTCCAACTGTGCAGTTCATCCACGAATCAGTCCGCGATTTCCTAATCAAAGGAAACGGCCTGAGAGAGCTCTGGCCTGAACTTACGGAAAACTTCGAAGGAGAAGGCCACGACCGGCTGAAACAGTGTTGTTATCGCGTGCTCATGTTTGACTTGTTAAATAGTCCTTTACGCGAGAAAGTCAGGGACAGTGTTGATGCAGCCAACTCCCTGCGCGACCAAGCCAGAAGACGGTATTCATTGCTCGGTTATGCTGTGCGTAACATTCTTCAGCACACTGAAGCGGCAGAGTCGGGCAACGTGGATCAATCGGTGTTCATGGAGAGCTTTCCACTGCGTCGCTGGACATTCTACCACTACGTCTTCGATGGAGCTCGGGCTAGTCGCTATTCACCCAAGACAAGTTTGCTTTACGTTCTAGCCGAACTGGGCCTGACTACGCTTATCACAAAATACACCAACCCGCAGAAGTGTCTGGTCATGGAAGGTGGAAATTACTTAACCCCGCTGTTTGCGGCTCTGGTGGCTGGATCGAAACACGAAAGTACGGTCAAGGTTTTGTTGGAAGCTCTCCCTACTCACGGTTGTCCGAGTGGTTCCTCGGCATCATGGTATGAGTATTGGAAGTCGCAAGGCAGGCTTGGCTTCCGGGCAGAAGAGGACAACAGATCTCCCCCGGCCTTGCTAATTGCCGCTACGCCCTTGCAGTCCACCGGCAATGACATCCTGTTCGAATACGACCCGCAACTCGGCACAGTCGATGACTTCGTGGAAGGCGGTTCTCGTGGCTTGGTCCGTGCAGTCCATATGGGACGAGCTGATCTCGTGAGACTGTTGATCGAGGGAGGGAGCCATGTCAACATACGGACTCAAAGCGGTGCAACCCCACTCTGTGTGGCCGCCGCCATGGGCCATGCCAACATTGTTTCAATTTTGCTTGAGAATGGAGTTGATACCAAAGCGACGGACAGCCAGGGCTTAACCCCACTGATATCGGCGACTCGAGGCGGTCATGCTACAGTTGTGTCACTGCTTCTTGACTACAAATGCGCCAAGGAGTCGTCAACTCATCGTCCAGCGGCGGAAGGTGGACATGATGACGAAGTTACCCTTCTTCTTGACAGGCTACGAAGTCGATGCAGTTGATTGGAAGGCGTGATAGGCCCTCGCAACTGTCTTACAGGGCACCTGTTGTACCGCTTCACATACAAATTATACAAGACCACGCTCAACTCAGTCCTAGCCGCCCTGTGTTTCCCTCTCCATCGTGTTCCTGTCCCTTCCACCTCCCTATCCAGTCCCCCATTTTGACGCCGTCACTTGGCCCCTTCTAACTGCGCGTCTTGATCTCGATCTGCAACTTCTAGTGAGATGGATGATGAGAAGTGAGCAACTTCACGCCGTCCAAAAGCCCCCGAAGGGCCGGTTTCTGACGCATGCTTCTGTCAGTGTGTTCTTTCGGCCTCTGGAATCCCCAATAAGTACGCCTTCTCTCTTGCTCTGTTTTTGATCAACATCTAAGCTTTGTATCGTTACAGTGTTGTATCTTGTGCATGCGTTCTTTTGTCACGCGAGGCAAAGGTGTCATGTCTTCGAATTTGGCTCCATCCGACAACAGCGAGCCTAGAGCTCCTGCCGCCTATTCTGGCATGGGACGGATATGCTCCGTCTCTTGGCGTCGTGATCCTTGGACAGACACACGATATCGGATTGTCCTTGTTCGGTCTACTTCTACAATCACTTTGGGCAGTCACTTGCGTCATGTGGTTCAAAGACAACTTGGAGAGGAAGCATTGAAAAATGTGCAAGGCTCTTAGAGGCACAAAGACGCGTCCAATCACCTGTTAAACATCAACAACCAATACGGACTCCGCCCTCCTCACACTCCCACCAACACAACATCTATCACATCAGCAGGGCGCTCAGGTGAAGCTCCCGCGTAATAGGCTTTAGCGACTGCCTTACAAGGCATCTCTTTATCCTTGCTGACGTTGTACCGCTTCACGTACACATTATACAGCACCACGCTCAACTCGGTCCTCGCCGCCCATGTGTTTTCCTCTCCGTTGTCCTCCTGTCCCTTCCACTTTCCTATCCAGTCCGCTAATTTGACGCCGTTACTTCGCCCCTTCTGGCTGCGCGGCTTGATCTCGATCTGCAGCTCCTTGTTCATGCCCGAGTAGAGCATGCGAGCGCTGAACCGCAGATTGGACACCATGTGCACGTGGGCATCAACTGGCAACTTCGCCTCCAACATTGCCGACTGCCCATTATTTGACGTGATTGGGATGTCGATGGTCAGTTTCGTCAGGCTGAAGTACTCGCCCTTCCCAGAATATACAATCGAGAAGATCAGGTCTTGCTTGGTCGCCAGAATTGGGATCTTCTGCACTGCGGGCGCGTTGGTCGTTGAGACGTGGTAGTCAAACTCCGGAAGACCAACTTGAGGGTCAACCGGCGTAGGTTCCCACGGAAGTTGAATATGAGGTCTGGGAACAAGCTCGAAACCGTCCGAGTCCCAATCGTCATGGCTGGGACTGTTGCTCAAGGCTGATCGGGGAATGCCTTCCCAGGAGAAGGAAGATGACGATTGTGATGGTGAGCGTGGAGGTACAGGAGAGAGAAGAGACTCTGACCGCCTCAATCTCCAGAGGGCATGGGGTGGCCGGCCAGCAGTTCTGCGCTGCATAGCTCGTTGAGCGACAGCTGAAATAGAGGACTGAGTCTTTGGTGGCAGCAACGTGTTTGCATCCAGAGTCTTAGCAAGGGAAGACGGGGGTGCCTCGCGGTAGGAGAGACACCCAGAGATACTCTCTACCATTGCCTTGGTCTCGGCTGTGTTGAAAGCGTTCGCCTTCATCTCCCCGATTTGCAGCTGCCAGGAGGGGCTGTTCAGCTGGTAGGCCATCATCGCAGAAGTGGCAGTCGTGTCCTTATACCAGTCCGAAGAGTGATGAGTGGGATCCAGCTTCGCCATCTCCTCGAGCAACGTGGTGTGTACATCAGCCGCCAGCTTCTCCATGAGCACCAACCGAACATCGTTCAAACCATATCGAGATCCCCTAACAAGCACCCGGCTCCGTTCTCTTGTGTCGGCGCCGTTCTTCGACTTTCCCTTGCCGTCCAGGGGCCACTTAATGGTGGCCACTGGGGCGTTTCTGAATTTGTCTTCCACATTGGGTTGCGTGTACTGTCTTTTGTATGCCACCTCAAGCTGCTGGTCTGTTACGCTACCCAAGGAAAAGTACTGCTGATGCGCAGGCAGCTCAAACCTCAGTCCATGCAGTCCGTCTTTCAGCGGCGCGCCACTGAAGAATCCCAGCATGGTTTCTTTGTCAATCATGTCGTGCCGCAACAAATATGGATCCCCGCTAGAAGCGCCCGTGACCTCAACCGAAACCTTGAGATCGGGAAACTGTGCAGCGACGGCCGAGCGGAGATAGAACCCATACCGAGGAATGGCGGGAGGATGGCACGCGGGATCTGTGAACAATCGGTTGATGGTCTTCTTGATTACTCTCCGCACGACATCATCCGCCTCGTGCTCTTTCTGATCGGCCATTCCCGGGCCGCCCTGATTGCCCAGACTTAGCGCACCGTCAACTGTCGCATCGATCCAGTTGTGATCAACGAAAAAGAAGCGGAGGCTCTCGCGGGGTACGAGGCTCTGATCAGGCATAAGGTAGTGTGACGGGACGTTAACGAGGTAGTACAAGTCCAAGACGAAGCGGAGGACAATCATCCAGTCGGGCGAGGCGGGCTCGTTGTGCTCGTCATAGGGCGGCGTGTCCTTGTCCCACGTCGCCTTCCAACCCCCCCTTCCATTGGCGGGAGCAAGGCTCTTAGCCACTTCAAACGCCGCTTCCTCCATGGCTGCCTCGGTGAAGGGACTGATGGAGGCGCATGACAAGTCAGGAGGTAAAGCGCTAGCCGGCTGTGCCCAACGGGCTTCGTCGGCCGACCGCGACATGGCGATGGTCTCCTTGATCAGGCTGTCAAGAGATGTGACGAGGTCCTCGCGCTTGTAGCTCTGTCGGTGCGTCGCTCGCAGCATCTTCCGCCGAGCGGTGCTGGTTCCTCGGTCCAGGATCTCATGGCGGACGCGCGTGAGCGAGATGGTGAAGGCACGATCGGCTAAGGCTAGTGTGCGGCCGAGCGACCAGGCGGAGGAGAAGGTGATGTCCATGATGCCCAGTTTCTCGTCGAAGATGTTGAGGTCGGAGCCGGTGTTGGAGAGCAGATCCCATTTTAAAGGGGCGATGAGGTTGGGCGTTAACGGGCCGCGGAAGAGGGCGGCGGTTGTTTCACCTGTTGGCGTGATGGAGCGCACGAGGGTGTAGCCGTCTTCAAGCCGGTTTAGCATGCGCTTGGCTACGTCGTCTAGATGTTCCGGTTGGGCCGGAATGATGGGCTTGAGCATGCGTGATGTGAGGGCTATGTTCTCGAAGGCCTGCTTCACGTTGAGAGAATTGGGCGGGAGGCAGGTGTAGGACCAACTGTAGAGGGATATAAGCCCGACGCGAGCAGGCTGCTTAGGCGATGATCCCGGCACCATCTCAGGGAGAGGCAACGGCTCCAAGGATTCCACGTTCTCGAGGGATACGAGGTGGACAATCATCTGAGAAGCTTTTTCACCGTCGAGGGGCCCGATGCGATTTGCAACCACGATGCTGAACTCCCTGATAGTATCAACCTCGTCCGAGTCGGCATTCGCCATACCTGTTGTGTTCATCCGCACAACGTGGGCCAGGAACCGGTGTCGCGAGATGTCTGGACCTCCCGGTAGTGGGTTTCCATCATCGTCATAGACCGCGAACAGGCGGTTGAACAAGAATGCCTTGGGAAAGATCACGTTCGTTTCGGGTTTGCTCGCTTGGTCGATATCGAAGTCCCCAAGCGGGACTGTGGCTGTCCCCTTCTTCAAATTAACAAGGTCGCCCAGCGGAACACGGACAGCCATGGACTCCAACTGCTTCGGCGCAGGATCCTTAACGCTGGTATGCGCAAAGATTCCCGCCTTCTCAGTGTCATCCAGGCGCAGCTCGTCCGGGGAAAAGATCATGAGCGCAAGCCATGGCACCCGGTTCCTGGCATAGTCATCGGGAGGATGATCCTCCGCTTGATGACTGCCGATGCGCTCCCATGGTAGCGTGCTGTCGTTGAGGACAATGTGCGGAAGCGTGTCGTGCGTCGCTTCATGGCCCTGTTCGGGGTAGATGGAGTAGACTGAGTCGGTGGGGAGGTCGAATTGCGGGGCTAGGACCTCGAATTCTTGTTCAACTGGTGTTGTGATGAGGGTCCTGGATGGGTCGTATTTCGGCTCAGATGATGAGTCAGTTCCTTTGGGGTAGCCTTCCTTGGGCTCGTCTTTCTCGGCCGGCTTGACTTCCGAAATGGTTTGCTGAACCTGGATAGTGTATGTGCCGCCTACCAAACCTGGCCGTCTGAAGGAGATAATCTTCTTGTACCCAGGTTTTGCAACTTCCTCATCTTCCTCCTTTTCTGTTTCGCCATTGAGCTGGCGCTGAATTGCAAGCTGTTTCTGTTTGTGCTGGCGAAACGCGAGGTAGCGCCTGGTTGTGGGGGCTTTTCCGAATCGACGGCTTGGAGGTGCCATTGCTGCTTTTGCAACCGTTCACCTTCGTTCCTTTCCTCGCTCTGGTTGGAGTGCACATGAACCGGGAAACGACTGAAGTTTTTGGAGTAGACGGGAAGATTGTCTCAAAGTCCAATTTTCGACGGAAACCCATGGGGATCGGGCCATCTCAAATCCGCGCCATTCCCTTGGAGCTGGAGGACTATCCTATTCTGAAGCAGACCGTTTGGGTGTTTCCTGCGAGTACTTGTGTCATTGGAGATACTTCCACACCGTCTTGACGTCCACTGTCTCGACGTCCACCAATCGGGCATTGCGCGCTGCTACTCACCACGAGAGCATGTCGAGATCTAGATCCATCGTCGCCATGCGACTTTTCAAGACTATTGGCTGCACCTCCGCGGCTAGACCGTTGTGGTCATTTTTCAGCCCCATCTCATCTTTCGGATTTCCTAATACAATACTATCAACCCAGAAAGGAATTCGCCTCCATACGGGTACAGTCCGACATCTTCAGCCCCGTCGACCCCTGGTCTCACCGAGCCCCGATAGACGCATACGATTATTGGAAGCCAATGACATGATAGTTACGGCAGGTATTCTACAGTACACGCAGACATTTTGGCGACTGTGAATCGGCTACTCGCGATACTCTATCCTACTTGGGAGGCTCCTCTTTATTGTTCCCCTGCTCGACGGGCTCTTTCAGTTGCATGAACCCCTCCACCGCCGTCAACGGCCCCTTCTTCCACCTCGGCGCTTCATCCGCACCCGCATCGCCCCCAATTTCTATGCTCATGTACACCTGCTGCATTTTCGGATTTGGCTTGGGTGGTTCTTCCCCACCGCCCTTTAGTGATCTCAGCCGCAGTTGCTTGTTCTTATCATCATCGCCATCCTCCTTTACCGGCTCATAGTACGGCTGAAGCCATGCCCAATCAGCCGCTTTCAACGCCGGTAACCTCATCTGCGCTCCTTTGACGCTCTCCTTCACATCTTTCCTGTAGGAGTCCTGCTTCACCTGGTATTTTTTGTCAAACTTCGGCACGGCTTCCGTCACCAGTAGCGGGCCCGCATGGAAGAAGGTTGTAATTTGTTTCAGGGCCGTTTCCCATACCCAGCTGGGCAGCTGTAGCGTGCGAGGGGGCAGGATGCCGGAGTAGCCAGTGATGCGGGCGAAGGGGTCAAAGAGGGCGCCGAAGAGGTGTCCGCTTAGTTCGTTGTTGCGCTTGGCTTCAAATTTGCGAGCGTTGGTTATGACGTCGACTTCTTTACCTTTGACGATGGTGGGTGCGTACTCCTTTGGCTTTAACCAGAAGGCTTTGAGTTTGGGGTATGCCTTGCTGTCAACTGGTTGCAGGAAGGACGCATCAGATGGGTTTTGGGTCTCAATGAAGTGGGTGTAGATTTTGCTGACGTCTAGGTCGCCAGGTGTGTCATCATCATTATCATCATCCTCGTCATCATCGTCGTTGTCGTCATCATTCGACTTGCCAGAAGGCTTTGCGAGGAAATAACCGACTAACCCGTCGTGGTTCTTGCCCTTGTTGCCAAGCTGGAGGCTGAACTTGTACTGCTTCTTGCTGCCGCCATCGCCAGTTAGTAAACCAGAGTCCAGCGGGGCGTGTTCGGGCTTTTGCTCGCTGAGTGTGGACTCGTTCTTGAGTGAGTCCGTGTTGAGCTCAAGCGACCAGCCCATGTTGGCCAGCACGAGCGGTCGACCGACGAGTGAGTTCATGAACTGACTGTATGCGCTGGGCGTCGGCACGGAGTTGCTTAGTGCGAGATTAATCATGTTGGTGAACGCATCGAGGCGCTCCTTGTGGGAGACCAGCGAGTCAATTAGTGCGTCCAGTTGTACGTTGTTGCTCGGCGTAGGGGACTCTTCGAAGGGAAGCCATTTGATGGCGCCCGCTGTTGATCGGACTTCTCGGTAGAATGTCCCATCCGGCAGGAAGAATTGCAGGCCGCGGTTGACGTAGTTGACGACCACCCATCCCCATATCGGTTTTTCGAACTCGGTGGAAGGACGCCAACTGTCACCGCTGACGCTGATGCGGCCTGGATTGTTATCACGAACGAGGAAGTGGGCGTTAAGGCGGGCAGGCTGGTTGATTGCTAGTGGAAGCTGGATGGACTCGCGCTTCAACGGTGGTGCGGGTGCGTCGTGGTCGGCGTCGTCGATGCTGTAATCCTGGCTCACAGATGGATATATCAGTGGACCCTCTTCCGCATTAGGATCAATGGCGTGCGCAACCTGTCCGAACTTGTCGATGATGTTAATCTTGGTAAAGCGCATTTTGCCGTGCGTCACCGGCTTGAAGCCTGAGATGTAGCTGCCGACGAGCGCAGGGAGGGGACCGTACGGCGTCAGATGGCTCTCCTCTTTGATCACGGACAAATCCGCCTTCTTGTTGCGGCCTGGTATAGGCGACGGGAGCAGATCGATGGCTTCTTGCAGCACAACCGGCTCCCTTCCTGGTTGGCGGACTAGCGGCTTGACGTGAGAGCCCTGGTAGCGGGTGGTCAGGTGGTCCGTCAAGCCGGCAAGGGGTAAAGAGAGCATGGCCACTTCGTCGAGCTTTTTGAGCATGTCTTTGCGCTCTTTCGGTTTGATCATGGAGTTCAGTTGGCTAATGGGCAAGTTGGCAAAAAGACGCTCTACATGGACGCGCATCGCGGAAGTTGGTTGGGGCAAGATGAGTGACCGTCCTGAGAGAGTGCGTTTGTCTTTGGGCTTGTCCGAGTCATTATCGCCCACTTGGAAATCGTTCTTGGGCATGTATGCGATCTTGGCCGTAGCAGCCGCGCGGGGTGTCCGTTGACCGAGCTCCCATTCTTCGAAAGATTGATGGGTATACTCGGCCTCCCATTCGACATAGAGCGGAAACCAAGCCTGTGTGTCGTTCCACCGATCTCGCCAGGGGTTTGTCTTGTTGTCTACCGGCTTGGACGGATGCTTCCCGTCGTGGTACAAAGGCACAACTCCGCTGGCGTAGGTCATCTCGGGGTTCAGATTCTTGAAGAACAAGAATTCCTTGACGAGTTTCCGCGCCGCCTTGACCACGTCCCCGTGCACCTTGTCAACACAGGCCTTAGAAGGTGGTTCGGGAGCATTGCTGGCAACAGTTTGGACGTCTAGTCGTGCACGGAGGACATCATTGAAGTCAGTTGGCCAGCCTGTCTCGATGTTGCTGACAACGAGGGTTGGGTCATTTCGCTGATGGAAGGCCTCCATGACACCCTTTTTCGCAGATACCTTTGCTGCCTGTTTGCTGATGAAAGTTGCCAGGTAGGAGGCCATGGCCTCTAGCTCCTCAATTTCGTCCTGAATTTCATAGGCCTCCTTGTCGTCCGTGGTTTGGATCCCACTCTCATCCTCATCCTGACCTTCTCCCTTTGCCACGCCCTTGTCGATGTCGGACACAAGCTTCCACCACCACGAAAACATGTCCCAACGAAGTTGCTTTATACGACGATTTGTCGCATCGAGCAAGTGCTGGGCGCAGTTCATGTACCGCACGACCTTTTGGTCGTTGTCTGAAGGAGGTGCTCCAAAATTTTCGCCCTCCTGAGCCGGCAAGAAGAAGTGGTCGCCGCCGTCCAAGTGAGCAAAGTGGGAGCTTTGTACCTCGTCATCAGCAGCGATCTGGGCGTCTACCCCGTCGTCTGCACCACGATGTAGCGTCTGCAAAGCACCGATGGACGCCTCAATAACCCCAGACTGGTCACGCTCACCAATGTAGGCAAGTACAGCATCCATCGGGCTGCCACCGACAGAAAACGGCATGTTGGCCATTGCGCTGGCCACTTCGTCAGCTGGCACTTTCTTGGGAAGGTTGTCCTTATTCCAGACCACGGCGTACATGGCTCCGTGGCAGAGTGTGCGCGCACTTTCGGCATTTTGCAGCCACTCCTGAATGCTGCCCTCCTGGTCCTGAGGGATCTTCGTCTCGATACCAACCCGCAGCTTCTGCAGCTTGGCAGCCCGCGACGTCTGGTCACCGGACCACTGCCCCATTATGTCCTTCTCAGGGTCGTTGTGCCACCCGATCACATAGTAGTGAGCAACAGCGGACTCGAGACAGCAGGTTTTGTCCTGTTCGTCCTGGTAGGAGAACGTATCGAGCATGGAAAACACGTTGCCGCAGTGATACTGGTAGTCGATGAACAGCTGGTTCGAGCTGCTGGCAGCCGTCAGCCCAACCCTCTGTTCATCGGGCTTGGGCTTGTCTTCGGCATCCCATGTGGCGGCTTCCACGCAAGATCCTATGAACACCTCGGCTTGTTGTTCGGTCTTGATGTCTTTAGCTGACCCCTCGAAAAATGAAGTGATGAAAGGAGATACATCCACTTCGAGATCGGCGGTGATAGGGATGTCGTCGATGTTTCGGGTCTTGTCGCTTTCGATGATCCATGATTTGAACTCATCTTTTTTCTTGTCGTAGTTCTTGGGCAGCTCGGGATTAAGATTTGGATCGATGTGCCGGATGACAAGCCAACGATTGGGGATCGCTGGGTATCTGGGTGCGCTTGGGTCAAACTTTTCCGAGGGGTCTTTCTTGCCGTCGTTGATGTCGTCCGGCTTTTCGGTTGTAGCAACACCGGACCGCAAAGGTCGCGGCAAACTCCAGTGAACGTACACGCCCAGGCGGTTCTGTCGAACGGTGGCTTTACCAATGTCGGTATAGCGTGAGTTCTTGCTTGCGGGTGCCGAAGCGTGGATGTCAACGTGTTCAAGGATGTCAGCTTGGACTTCTTTGATCTGGAGAAACGTGTAGTTGGGCTGCGTGATGGGCGCAATTTTTGCTTTGTTGGGTCCTACTCCGTTGCACACCTTTTCGTTAAAGACAAAGGCGTCCAGTTTCATGGGGAGGAGGAGGTTGTAGTTGGGAGCCATGATCGAGATTACGGGGGCTGTCGTGAAAAGTCGGTAATGAAGAAGAAAGTGAATACAAAAAGGTAAGCCGCAACCCATCTGCACTCAGGGAATGGTTCGAGCAAGCGAAAGTCAATCATTTATACCAGGTATTCAACCTTTGTTGCGAAGATCCCACCCCGTTCCAAAGCAGGCGTACGAACACTCGCTAGCTGCATTAATCCACGGTCCCCGATATCCTCGCTTATTTAATTTCACCCTTGTCACGAATAGGCTTGTACTGCTCATCGGACGAACCGAGGTAGAACACCGTATTCTGCAGCTTGTCCTTTACAGCGACCTGCGTGACAGCCAACTGAGTCTCGAGGACCGTCGAGACCGCAAAGTCAAACTCGCTCTTGACACTCGCCGTCGCCTGCCATTCCGAATTAACTCTGTCGGTACGTTGTATGTTTGCGTATCCTTCTGATCCTGGCTTGGAAAGGTAATAAAGATAGACGTTCCCCGCCTTGGACTTGGTCACGGCAATGGGGGTTCCCGGCATTGCGTACGAGGTACCAGGTATCTTCATCGCTTTATTTGGAACAGGAATATCTTTGTCAGATTCAACAGCTCGAAAAGTACGCTGCTTCGCGGCCGCAACGACGGGATGGGTACACTTACGAGGGTTGCTGCTACCAATTCGGTAACAATATATGGAATGGGATTTGGGATCCTCAACCTGGTAGTACACCTCGCGGTGGTTCGTGTCAAGGTACAGAGCCGCGAGACGGGAGGTGGTACCAGGCATCAAGTCGCTCGGAATTTCCTGGTCACTGAAATGATGAACCTTGACGCTATTGCCGATAAGGCTGGCCTCCTGTAGGCCCAGCTTGACAGCAGTACCCTCCTTGGATCTAGGGTAAGAAAGGGCAGTTGTTAGTCAGTATTTCACAGTTGCTCTTCCCATGGAGGAGGGGGGTTCAGATGCTACATGTTCATGTACATGTACTTGGCCTCCAACCCAACACCTACCTGTTCTTGATGAAGTAGCACCAAGCATGAGTGCCCACTTTATCACCTTGTTGATTGCTGATGGCAGCAAATGCGTTCTGGTTCTCGTCGAAGGTTGTCTCCTCAGGCTTCTTTCCAGCCATGACTTTCACGATGGGGCTGAGTTGAGCAAGGACACGGCTCTTCTTCACCGCGTCCCCCGAGCCAGTGGTAATCTCAATCTGACCAAAGACGACCGGCTGCATGGACACCACGATACGGGCGTTTGGCAGTTAGGCACGGTCCTCTCTTCTTAAACGTTGACACAAAGAGCTGGGAAGATGGGACAGGAGAAGAGGACGTGAACGTGAACGTACCAGGCCACGGAGGGAAACGGCAGCGATGCTCTGGTTGGTGATGTGAGAACCGCCGGGAGTGGTCAGGGGATCATAATCAAACATGGGCTGCTCCGGATCAATGGGGATCTCCTGGAGAGCAAGTCGCTTGTCTCCGTCGACAAAGAAGAGGAGGATCTCCTCTCCCGCAGGATTGACGATTGAGGTGGCAGGGTTGGCCATTGCAGCTGACACGGGGAATCAAAAGGATGGGGAGTAAAGAAGTGGTGGTCAATGAGGTGAGTTGAGTTTGCTGTTGTAAATGAGTTGATGCGTTGTGTTGAAGAATCGGTTGCAGACTGCTGCTTACTTCCAGAGGTACGTAAGGTACTTATAGTCGGGACAACGGGTTGCGAAGCTGTGGAGGTTGGTTCGGTTCTAAGCTTCCAGCTAGGCTCACGCGTTGTTGCTCTTCTCAGTTCGGTCCCGTGCTAATGGAAGTCTTCTCACCTCTAGGTACGACACTTATTGATGGAGGACTGGAATGGAACCCCCGTTCTGTCTCTAGCATGTCACGCCAGCTCCTGCGCACCGGGAAGTACTTGCCCAAGGATACTCACCTGAGGATACTTACCGATCGGTTCCCTCACTTGACGTTGGTTAAATATGCGATTAACGAGTATCATGATCGGATCAGTCTACGCAGTACAGCAGCGCCACAAACGGCGCTCGAACCTGATACATCTTGACATCAGCTTATCACTTGAAGAGGGCGTTTCCCCTCTTGGGGCCTCTAGACCACAACGGCCATGAACAGCGAGCAAATGGCCTCATGAACTATTGAGCTGAATAGAAGAAGCACTATCGGATGGACGAAATGCCGTTAATGTCACTGCAGAAGCCAGTCGATGTCTTCGTGGTAGGTGTGGTTGTGTGATTGAGGGCTGAAGCACTAGCGGCTGGAGCTATCGCCAATAGTGCTACCGCAGCGATGGTCTAGGTCACTACTCCAGTGGCTTGCCACGCGGCAATAAAGGAACCCTACCGTTGTTGTCTCCGATGACTTGCATTTGATGGATCACTACCCTACTGGTAGGGTACTTCTTGTGAAGAAACCTCGCTAACTCTATGTGGTTGTACCCTCAGAAGTACAAGTGCCTCGGGGGCCACTTCTTCTCTGTCTTATACCAGGCGGCAACTGTATCTGGGGTAAATCTTGTCATCTCCTAATATCCGGTGAGCCTCGATATCCTACGTCCACTCCGTCCCTCGTTCTTGTTAGCTTTTGCACTTGTCCCCAAGGTCTTTCCATCACTGTTCCTGTTCTACTGCTCTTTCCTAATCAGAATCCCGCTAATGTACTTGCACAGGCGTATCGCCGACAATGAAGCAGCGTTGCTGAAACATACCTTCACCTTGTGGTAGCTGCCAAGAAGTTCGATTGCAATTTTCTGACGTATATTTCAGATCTCATCCTGCTTTTGCCTGCGAAACTTCCTCCATTGCACCGCTGAGCCTACTACATTCTGGGTTCGCGATGGACACCAGGTTTGAGGTCTTGTCCTACCACCTGAATATCGGCGAAGGAGACTCAGCTGTGTACTCAGTTACCAAGGATGGGGACCCGGCTCACACAGTTCTGATTGATGGTGGGCGTCGGGCAGCCGGTGATGATACCCTCCATCAATTCATGGAATCACCTGAAGCCAGGAACCACAGGATTGCCAAGTTCGACACCATTGTCATTACCCATTGGGATGATGACCATGCTTCCGGTGTTTTGGCATTCTTCCTCAAGGACCTTAAGCTTCAACTTTCTCTCTATAGAGAGAGAAATAAGGCCAAACTGGACCCTTTGTCGAAGACACAGCTAAAGGCCACCCTCCAAGAAGCTGCTAACAAGGGTGATATCCGATCATCATTCCTCCAGTACGACGAGGCGACACCAATTTGTCTACCACTGAGTATGATATACGTTCCATATCGGCTCAACACACAAAGCAACGTTATCCGCCAGCTGCGGTTGATTGACAGATCACGGGCACCACATGGTGATGTGAGAAACTACGATTGGTTTACCCTAGACAACGAAAACAAAGGCCAAAGACTCAGATATGGCAAGTTCAAACTCTCCATCTTCCCAGGCGATGCAGTGGAAGAGACCAGATATTACATTTGGGTCAGAGCGTTTGTGGTTGGGCCTACTGGTCAAGATCTGTTAGGCCTGGACCTCTTCACAGGCAAAAAGGTCATAAGAAATATCGAGGAAGCAGACTCTCCCGAGGCAGTCTCCAAATTCATGGCCAGATACAGCACGATCTGGAAGAGGCCAGTCTTGTACTGTATCGGATGTGACGGCTTCACCCTTTGTCCGGACGAACGTCGGTACCCTGACGAAGGGGACAGATATGACTGGACCGACACAAAAAGCCCCCCCAGTAGCAATCTTGGAACGATGGATCTTACCAACCTTGTTCTGAGGAGGGGAGCAGGACAACGGAGCGCATCGACGAAGTGTGTCGATGGTCCTACAACTGGCAACAACCTATCGTCCATTGCATGTATGATCATATGGCCCAACAAAGACGAGGCTGTGGTCTCACACTACGTTGGTGGCGATGTCGGCGATGAGAATGAGGAGCTATTTCTTCGCTGGGCGACGGTTCAAGATCCTCAAAGCGCGATGGTCCGGCGCCCGATCAATGTCGGCGCCATGAAGCTATCCCACCATGGTACGCGATATTTTCTCTCCTTCAGTCCCCGTTTTATCTACCTGTACATATACAACTGTGGTAGAACTCTACGACTCACCCTGGATGTTGCTAATTGATCACATAATTTTTTTATTTCTTTTTCAATCATAGGATCGAAATTCTCCACGCCAGCCTTGATGCTCTTTGCATGGAAACCAGCTAAGATCGTTGTATCCAATTCCCGAAATTTCAAGTGGAATCATCCGTGTGAGTACAGCATGTCTACCTTACCTTAGCAGACCGATGGCAACAGAGCTGCGTTACGCATATACCGGCAGGCAGTGGCATTTTTCATGTTCAGGGCCAGTTTCACGCATCACATGGAACCGACTCTGAATACACATGTTGCGGTCACTTGAACAACGGAATGCTAATATTACCTTGTATTCATACAGCCTGGGAGATCGTCCTGCTCATTTGGGTATATGTGCGTGTACGCCGCAAGTCTAAGCAACCGGGGAATATGAACAATGACGACGGAGTCCTCCTTGCAACCACCTATCCTCCTTACTTGTGTAGCTTTCTGGACTTATGGAGCAATAGGATTGTCTCTATGAAAGTCGGCTCCATCGACTCCCTCGAGCTCCGGAGTGGTGCGGATTTTAGGGCAATTGTGGATAACGTGTGGAGGAAAGGCTTGTTTAGGAACTGGCTGGACAAGATTCGAGACATGGCCAACGATGCTGCGAAAGCTGAGGCTTTGGCAAAGCGGATAAGTGATTGTTGGAAGGAGTTTTCCCTAATCTACCGCGCCGACTACATGGGGCGTCCACAATATGATACGAGCAGCATGGCGGCCAACACACCCCAAAAGATTTGCGCCGTTCGACTCCTTCATAAGGATCACAATCCGGTCGAGTATCATATATTCATTTCGGATAATATGAAGGACATCGAGCAAATTGCCCCGAACTCACTGACTCAAAAGACGGTCAGCCAAGTCCCTTCTGCTCCGACCGCGCTGCAAACCATGAAACCGCGCCCCCTTCCCAAGAGCCTCGGTGGAGATGAGACGACGGGAAACACCGTGCACGAAAACCGCTCGCGCCGCATACCTCTACCGGATAAGATCATTGGGCGAAGGACTTTCGACATCTTCTTGAAGGACACCATGGAATCAATGGAGGAGGACAAACGAGGCAACTCGTGGTGTCCGACTCCAAGTCCCAGTTTACGCCAGCGACTTCCATCTACATCCTTACCACCAGGCACGGAAGTGAGATTGAACCAGGATCAGTTCGAAGCCCCAGGCCCAGAGGGCCGTTATTTCATCAAGGCATCAGATTCTGATGCGACCCCTAGCGTTGGTCCGCTCACATACCGCCCACGAGATGGGCATCTTGATTGGTTCCTTGGCGATCTGAATACAGGCACCCTGGTGCTCGCGGACAAGCCCCATACCGAACCTCATTCTTACGATCAAGTTCCTATGATGCGTGTGCACAACACAGACGAGACGAGCGAGTGGTTTATACACTGCCTGGGCAGTACTGACGATGGTGAATGTGCCGTCAGCGCTCGCGTCATCACTATCCCCACCGAGGGGCCTCAACAGCTGGTTAACATCACCGGCTTCGAACTCCAGACAAGGTTCAAATACTTGTGGAGGACCCCCGATGAGGCACCGGACAGTGCGGACACGTCATTCTTTCAAGACCTTGTTATTTTCAGTGCCGAGCACAACTTTCATGATTTCGGCATCACGGGGAACACATGGCCCAACATCGCTGCTTCAGGCGATACTTCTGAGACAGACACCCTTGTCGGGCCAGCACATATCGTTTGCCTCAGTCTTGGAAAGACTCCCAGTATTGCTGGCAAACACGTAAAGCTTTCCTACGTCCTATCGATGTTCCAGATCCAAGCCAGTGGGTGGTTGGACTCGCTGATCAAGCTTGCGGATTTTGAGCTCACAGTTGACACAGCCAGGGGGCAGAAGAACGCGCTATGGTACACGCCGGCTGAACATCACGAGACGACGTTACGGCTTTGCTTCAAGCAGGCCACTGCTGGTTCAGGGGATCAGAGCATTTTCAAGAAGGTCTGCAAGTTGCTTCATGAGTTGACAGGTTTTGATTCAACCCTAGCTCAGGGGACAACAGTTGAACCAAGAATCATTGTCAAGAAGTCATGGACACTGATAGGTGAGACGCAAGTCGAAACAGCTCACGAAGTCACGGTGTTGCTTCAAATGGCTCTCCCTAGGGGTACGTCCTCCATAGGTGAGCCATTTCAGTTTGACACAGCCCTAATCTTTGGTAGTGACGGCGCAACCAAGTGGGTGATCAACTTCGAGCAGGGAGAAAGCTTCGAGGATCTGATCAAGTTGATCGTCAACCTCTTTTCGGCCTCGGACCTAGAAAAGAACCTCAACGATTACCTACCCGGGTGCGATCAGGTTTTCATTCGACGGGTTGTTTTCACCAATGCGCCCGCGAGCAATAGCAAATCCCTCGAGGTGGTGCTGCAAGTCTTCTTCGCCGACATGATCTTCCAATGCTCACTAGAAGTCGACTTCATCACCGCTGCCGACGGCAAGACGACCACCACCAAATTCGGCTTCTTCGGCAAGCTCTTTCCCGAAAGCAGAACCGCCAAGCTAGGCGAGCACTTCTTCTGGGTCCCTTACACTTCCGGTTACGAGCGTTGGACGACCCTCGAAATTGCGCCCGTCAAAAACGCAGTTGGTGTCCTGGAAGATGCGCCCGCCACCGAAGTGGGTGACCTGCGCAAAGCCTTCAACGCGCTCCGCAAGAAAGATGCCCCTGGACAGCCGGGGCAAAAGGAGCTTGTTGCAACCCCGACTGGTCTCGAGCTGGTAGGGCTTCAGTTTGGTTTAACTGGGGAGGAAGTCACGTTTAGCGCCACCGTCATCAGTGACTTCCCCAAAGATCAAAAAATACCTGCTATCAAGCTATTGGCGGCGACCCTGGACTTGAGGTATGATGTCAATAAAAAGGCAGTGTCGAACTGCTCGCTGTTGACATCGATGATGATGACAGCGCCTGACAAGTCTATTCCGCCTGCTAAATGGAACTTGGAACTTGCGTATGACGCAGACGGAGAGGCAGCGCTTTGGACGCTCAGTGGCGGCGTGGGAGGCCTTAGGGGAGACTTGCTTTACTCGCTCTTTGATGAGGACAGCAACAGTGAGATGTCTCAGCTTCTTGCCAACATCACTCTCAGTCTGCAGCTGACGTACAAGTACAATTCGCAAGCTAAGGCTTCTGATTTCTTGGTGGAAGGAAACTTGTGGCTCGGGCACTTGCGCTTCAGAGCAAAATACTGCTACCCATCCAACGGAGAGTGGACCTTTGAAGCATCTCTCAACCCCGAAGAGGACAAGGACCATGATGGCGATGAGCCACAGGGCCAAAACCTCCTGGGGGTCTTGGAGTCGATATGCGGCCCGGGTTTGATGTCGGTATTGCCTGAGATGGTACGGGATATTCCAGTCACGCCTACGGAGAAGAGGGACCTGACCTCCCTGCGCATTGTGCGCCTTGAGAGAGCCATCTTGATGCTGGTGCGGCTCCAAATCACAGATAAGACCTCGATGGCCTTTTATCAGTACCAGCCAAGGAGAACTGGAAAAGAGGAAAAGGCTCCAAAGGCCAAACGAGCGCTGGTCTTTGCTTTAGACCAATTACCTAAGGTGCCAGAGATTCCTCTGGTTGGGACAATGCCCCAGCCTTTTGACGAGGCTCGGTTTCTGTGGGTGGGCGGCGGCGACGCCCAAGGGTGGACAAGGAAAGAAATCGAGGAACTGAACAAGAACGCACAGGGATATCCTCAGATCATCTTCCGTGACACGGGGAAGAAACCACAAGGTGGCGATCATGCAGCCTACGATGAAAAAGCGAAAAACAACGTTGTGCTGAAAAGTGGTTTCCATCTGTGTCTCGTTGAAGGAGGCGAAACAAGGCTCGACTATGCTTTTGGCGGAAACCCTGAAAAAGACCCAAAGGAGAAAGGCTTTGATGCCTCATCCGATGACGACGAGACAGAGATCGTAACACCCATGGCCAACATCGCAAAGGTAAACAAGACAATGGGTCCAGTCACAATCCTCGGTGTTGGTTTAGATTTCGACATCAACGAGAAGAAGCTGAAGCTCATCATTGATGGCACGGTCAAGCTTGGCCCGATCGACCTGACGCTGCTTGGATTCTCCCTCACCTTCGACCTCAAGGACAAGACGTTGACCAACCTGAGTATGATTGATGTAGCAAAAGACATCACGGTAGGCCTGGACGGATTGGCTGTTGGGTTTCAGAAAGATCCTATCAGCATCGCGGGCATGTTTGAACACCGCAAAACTGGTAGTGACGATCTTTATCTGGGCGGAGCGGTGGTCGGTTTCAAGGAGTGGAAGCTCGAGGCAGGAGGCTATTACGGAACGGCCGGGGAGCCCAAGGAACCTGAGCCCAAGCTACCTCAGGGTCTCCAAGTAATGGGTGAAAAAGACTTCAAGGCGTTCCTCGCCTACGTCCGGGTGTCAGGACCAATCGCCACGATAGGCTACGCCGAGATACGCGGTCTTGTTGGCGGATTCGGCTACAACACGAGTATCAAGATGCCGACCATTGATACCGTCCAAAGCTTTCCCTTCCTAGCCCAGAGCCCCACTTCATCAGCGGCGGGAGCGCTGACAGATATGATAAAGGGTGGCTGGTTTAGCCCAAAGGAAGGCGACAACTGGGTCGCGGCCGGCCTAACTGTCCAGGCATTCGAAATGCTCAAAGTAACGGCCGTTGTCACTGTGGAATGGGGATCCAGTGTACGATTAGGTATCTTTGGTCTTGCAACGGCCGAGATTCCTAAAGGTAGGCCTGAGCAGAAAAAATTCGCTGTCGTGCAACTGGGTGTGGTAGCCATGGTGGATTTCAACGCTGGTGTCATGAAAGTTGACGGACAGCTGACGCCCGCATCATACATCCTCGACGAATCGTGCCATCTGACCGGCGGCTTTGGTCTGTATACCTGGTTTGGGCCGGGTACTCAGCAGGGAGATTGGGTCTTTACCATTGGAGGCTATCACCCCAGCTACCATAAACCAGGCCCTTATCCTAAACCGGGTATACTGGGCATCAGCTGGAGCTATGACTCCCACATCAACATCACCGGCGGCGCATACTTTGCCGTGACGCCCAAGACTTGCATGGGAGGTGGCAGTCTCCATGTTGCCCTGACTCTCGGTCCACTGTACGCTTATCTAGACGTACATGCTGACTTCTTGATCAACTATCGCCCATTCCTGTATCGAGCGAGCGCTGGTGTCATGGTTGGCGTCAATTACACTCTCGATCTGTGGCTCGTCACCATTCCGATCAAAGTCGATCTCAGCGCCATTATCTGGCTCCAGGGTCCACCTCTTTCTGGAACAGTTCATGTCGACTTTTTCGTCTTTGGTTTTGACGTTAAATTCGGACCACAGAACATGCCTGGAAATGACAAAATCAGCTTGTGGGATTTCTATCATCTGGTGATCCAAGCAACTGAAAAGGGTGCCGCCCAGGCCATCGGAGAGGGGGCAGGTATCCAACCTACCGATCAAGATGTAGCGCCAACCGGTATCATCGTCCCTTCTTCGCAACTTGTCAACTGCATCAGCGGTCTTGTCCCGGAAAGCAGCGCTGACAAAAACCAAGGACCACCTGCTGCCGGCGAGAAGTGGCGTGTCCGCGGCGCTGTGTTCGCTTTCACCGTATCCTGCAAGTTTGCCATCCAGACTGCAACGGTCTTCACCCAGTCGATTCATCAAGATGGAACCATAACCAAAGAGCACAAGGACATCACAAATACAGCCAAAGGGGAGGTCAGCGCCAGGCCGATGCACCTCCCCGGGCCATTCGCGCAATCATACCTCCAAATCTCCATCACAGCACCAGCGCCTCCTCCTCACCCTTCTGGAATTGCCGAGTTACAAACCAGCAATCCAATCTGGAAAGACCATGAGCTCGGGTATAGCAATCTTCCCACTGCGTTGTATGGTCGATGTAAGTTTCTCGATACCTCCCATCTCACCACACCCCCTAAAAACAAAGGACAGCACTAACAACCCCCTGATCACAACAGATGACTCCAAAACTGACCCCTCCGACCCCCAAAGCGACCCCTCCGCCGTCCTCAACAGCTCAGACGCGACCACCAACCTCCTCACCTCCATAACTCTCCACGCTCCCGGGAGCATCAAACCTGAAAACGACATCGCAGCCTTTGACGTCGCCTCGGCCATGGGACAGAAAGCCAACGACGGGCAGCCGCCTACCGACTTTCCGGTGCTGGAGGGGCCGCATGGGAAGTGGATGCCCGCTGAGGATAGGGATCCTGATATGGACAGGCAGATGAAGAAAGTGAAGAATGCTTGGGGGGAGAGTGCGAAGGTGGAAGAGCGAGGCATTAGTCGCGTTACGAGAGCGACGGAATTCATGGCTGGGCTGGGACTAGGTGGGTGGGAGTGGGAGGAGGCGAGCAGGAAGGAGGTGAAGGTGCCGGAGAAGATGGTGGAGGAGATGGGGGTTTGGTGGATTGAGGCGCCGGGGCTTTGTGAGCTGGAGGTTTGAGTAGATAATTGGGGGGAGGGTGGCGATGGCTGACTTTCCTGGGAAGGCCGGGAGTTGTGATATTTGCAAATATGCTGAATGAATGTGGTCTTGCAATAATGTTTTTTGGCATGTTTAGCAAAATGGAAGGTGTTGGCGGTTGCAAACAGGCAGAAAGTGTCCGTGGTGCACGGAAAGTGGCGGGAAGCCTGATATTCGAAAATGCGCTGCAATTCCTGTTAAGAGAACACCTCTGCAGCCGGCAGTAGTTAACGACTGCACTAACACCTGGAGCAATTGCAAACACACCCGGACCTGTCACTTCGGTTGTTTAGCGTAGGTCCAGGTGGTTTAAGGACGGTATAAGTGTTAGCGCCCACGCCCGACGTTTTGGCTGTACAGGGGAATTATACTAACAGAACTTTGAAGGATGTTTCCGTTCTGGACGGCTTTCATCATTAACGCTCACTTAACTTTCTCCCCGTCCGTTTCTATGGTTGCAGTATCTATCCTGGTCCACTTCGCCGCCCCTTACATAGAAATAGGTATCTCCACCCTTCCCTCCCCTATCAGCCTCCTGTGTCCACCCACATCAGCTCTCCCTGCTTCATTCATTCTCCCTCCATGGTCTTTTCAAAGTTCCGGTGACTGAACTGAAACCTCCTCCTGCTGACTTTATCCCCTCACCGTATCTATCCTTCTTCTTCTTCCTCTATTATTTTGCCTCTTCTAACTTTGTAAATCTTGACCCCAACCCCAAGACCAGTCAAGTCCTTCTTCCGCGATCCCGCAAGCATGTGATCGGACTCACGCGTACAGGTATCCAAGATAACGCCGGCTGTTCGGGCAACGCTCTCGCTACGAGTGAAAAAGAATGCTTGTCAGTCTGAAGCCAGCGTTTTAGGTGTCAGAGAGGAGGAAGTAAGTAGTAGACCGCTGTACTCCGGGAATACTAGTGTACGGGAATTGTTGTCAAAAAAATGTGAGGGCTAGACAAATAAGGACGGGCCATACATACCAGTCAGGATACCTCGTCACATCGTCACCCAAGTCTTCGTACGGAGCAATAACCATGTTCTTCTCCATGCAGTACGCCTGGATAGTCACTTCCTCGCCGGTACTCGTCACGTTGACGGGAGACGTCCAGCACGGAAGCGCACCTTTGGCATGCAACATGTTGATACATTTGACTGCTCCGTCTACCTATTGCTCCCCGGGGGTTTCACGGACCACTGATGTCAGTAAAGAAGACGCTCTCGCCAAAATATTCGATTCTGGGGTACGTGGAGCGGGAAAATCGGACTAACCTCCCCTCTTTTTTGTCCCTCACATTTCACTTGGCTGTCCCAACGCTTTTCAGGTTTGGTACTAGGAATCGCGTCGACGTGGGCGATGTGCGAAGATAAGGCCATGAGGAAGAGGATAAAAGGAAAATTAGAGAAGGCGACCATTTGGTCTGTCAAGCTGAGTTGTAAGGTGTAAATGAGGAGGTAGCTAGGTCAGTTTTGGATGATTAGTTGCGTTAAGTTGGATCTTTAAGTTTGTGAGTTCTAGAAATAGAAAACACAAGTCCGAGCGAAAGGAGAATCGATACTGTCGTTCATGCCGTATTTATATAGCGCCCTTGTGTAGATTGGGTAGATTGGAGACTGAAAGGCAGGTTGGTCATTTGAACATCAAGAATTTCCTTTAAGCGCTTAGCCCCATCCCCTTAACGCCCGGGCCCAGTGTTGGTGATGTTGGTAGTCGCAAGCGCCCATCCCATTGTCGACGGGAATTCACAAGCAAAGTCTGGTTGTTTAGCGCCTAGAGGGGAAGAGTGAAACCGATGGTATTGAAAGACGGGCGGGAGCTTTGTGTTGATGTAGAGACTAAGGTAGAAGCTGTTGGCGGTGATTACCAAAAGGGTTACATTTTTGGGTGCGCACGATGGCCGCATTACCTGGCATCATGTTGAATACACGCTCTTCTATACTCTGTTAGTGTGGAGATTACTAGACGTGGTGTGGGAAACGACAAGCCACTTGTCTACCTAAGTAGGTACCTCTACTGTACAGCGTACATCCTTAAATCTGAAGAGCGAGAAAAGGATCAATGCTATCATAAGGACAATATTAACAACCCAAAATATGACATCCTATTGAATCTGATTATGGTGGAATAATGGAATATTTTCGAGGTACGTAAGAAAAGAGACAAATATCCTGAAGCTAGGGCAGTCAGTTTGTCCCTCTCTCCCTGACATTGTCTTCCACTTTCCATTTGACTCTGTTCTACTACCGCCCATTCCTCTCCATCTCCAATCATCCAATCGTAAACGTTTGGGCTCCTAAAACGTTGATTTCAACTCTAAGACCCGTCAGATCCTTCTCCCGCCATCCCGAAACCCATTTCTCATCGCCGGATTCAGTTGTGCACGTATCCATGATGGCACCAATGGTTTGGGCCACGCTCACGCTTTTATAAATAATTCTGGTCAGTCTCAAAGGTAACGTACCTCAAGATAGGTCATAATCAAGAAATGAAAAAGGTGGAACATACCAACTAGCCAACTTCGAATTGTCCTGACCCAAGTCCTCCGAAAGGTCCGGACCGACAACGAGATTATTCACACGGCACCAAGCCTGCATGGTGTGCTTTTTGCCCTTGTCCTTAGGTATGAGTGTGACGGGATGTGTAGGGCAGTGCGGGTCTTTCCTATTGACCGACTTATGCAGGTTCTCAATACACTGAACAACGTCGACTGCCTAGATATAGTTATCCCGAGGGGTTTTCATACGTCAGTAGGTGAAGATAACCGCACGCGCTGGTATATAGAGGTAGAGGTAGGTATTCAACGTATTGCGGTGTCAAGATTTGCAAGCCAGGCGGTACTTACCTTCACTCTGTTCCTCTCATTACACTTCACCTGGCTATCCCAACGCTTTTCCGGCCCAGAACTAGCAGTAGCTGGCAAAACATCGTCGTCTTTGTCCTTGTCTGCTGTCGAGTCAAGGTACGCTTGCCATGCCTGCTCCGGAGAAAGAGCAGTGTCGGGGTTGGTGAACTTGTCATCTACCCATCTGGCGAAGGAGAAGCGTTGAGTAACTGAGGATGCTTCCGCCCGGGAGACGGCAGGTTGGGGAACCGCGTCGACCTGGGTGATCTGGGCACACAGGGCCATGACGGACAGAGTGAAGAGGTTGGAGAAGGCGACCATCGTATATGGCTGGCAGTGTTATATTTGGGTGGCTAGGACGGTAGTTCGATGATACACGCTAGTTGTCTTATATCGGATCGGCTAGTTGGCGTCTTCGATATCACAGAACGTAGAGAGTGTGAGTTCGAGACAACAGCAATCAATGATGCCGTTCCCAGCCTTATTTTGTGAGTCTCCAAACAGACCGGCGACTGGACGCCTCGCAGGTCATTCGGACCTCGAAGCGCTCCATTATTGTCTTTAGTGAATTGTTTAGCGCTCATAGGGAAGCAGTTGCCACGATCTTTGTTCTGATGCAGCGACCGGTTTGGTGGCGCCTACTTCAGGGCGGGAATATGGTTGTTCTTTTTGTTGATGAGGTCCTATGTCATGTTAGTGTAGGAATGGTATGAGTTGACTCGATCACATGTCAGCAACACAAACTGAGAACCAAGAAATGGATCAACATGATAGCGTCTTGGTGTTTGGCACACCGCCGAGTGCCAAGTGCCATTAAGTCTTGGATTTGGGACGCAACAGCCGGCCAGCTCACCGGGCCAAGTCAACCGGCCAACTTGTGCTGCTGGCACCTTGGAATTTTCGGGCAGTCATGTTTGCGAAGCGAATGTTCCGTGCCGCGTTCTCGCGTGGTTTTTGGGAAACGATGTATAAAGAAAACGCTGTATTATCCTGGAAATATCATCGCAGCGTCCATCCACTACTCCGTCCGTAAAACGGGTATCACAACCTCTCGTCTATCCCAACCCTATGTCGCTTGCATGCAAACCTCATGAACCATCAGGTCGGTCCTCTCCCACCTTAATCCGAATCGCTCGAGTCGGAGCTGCTATCACCCCCGCTGCGCTTGCGGTGCTTGTCCTTCTTGTGATGCTTATCCTTCTTATCCTTCTTGTCCTTCTTCTTCTTCTTGAGCCTGTGAGTGTTATTCGTCAGCATGTCGTTCTTTGTCAAGCAAGGGAGGGTGCCCAAATCGAACCAGCCAACCCAACAACCCCAACCGTAAAACTGGGCAGAAACAAAGAAACAATGAGCAAACTTACTTGTCCTCCAACAAGTTCGCCGCAATCGCGCCACCAACCGCGCTCACAACACTACCTAGGGTGCCTGTGCCACCAGCATGTGCCAACATGGCGCCCATGCCACCACCGGCCAGGGTAGCGCCGAGACCACGCTCACCGTCAGGTCCTACCGGACCTCCAGGACCGCCTTGACCTGGGTACTGCTGATGCTGACCGTAGCCCTGACCCTGGCCGTAGCTTTGCTGGCTCTGATCGTGGTACTGTCTCTGACCGTCGTGATCTTGTCCTCCGCCGTACTGTGGCTGTCCATAGGGGGGAGCACTTCCGTAGGACTTGTTGTCGTAGTCTTGTGATTGTCCGTAGTGGTGGGAAGGGGCCTGGTGGTAACCTCCTTGCTGAGGAGGAGGGGAGTAGGAGTTGTGAGGAGGGTAAGGGGCGTCTTGCTGGCCACCGTAGGGAGGGTAACCGCCCTGGAGGGAGAGAACAGGATGTTAACTTTACGGACGTTTCATGATTGCGTGTGCTGGGTGATCAAGAACGTTGTGATGAGGACAGGAAAGACAAACCTGTTGTTGGCCCCCGTATTGGGGAGCAGGTTGGCCTTGGCTATAGCCGTAGGGGTTGTTCTGGGGAGGCTGCTGGCCGTAGCCACCGCTTCCGCCTTGCTGGCCTTGGTTGTAGTAGTCTTGCGCGGACATGTTGTCTGTGTGTGTCACTTTGGTCGAATAAGGTTTCAATATGATACTGTAAACAAGAATAGGTTCGAGATGTTTGGGGAAAGTGAAGTGGAAAGAAAGATGATGTCGAGGGAACAAGTGATCGTGGGGTTGGCCGCTCTTTCAGTGATCACTTACAGTGGACGTGCCGCCAAATGGGAGGACTCCGATGACGAATAGGTGACCTCGGCCCCGCCATGGGCTGAAGTTGTGGATCCCCGAGTAGGCCGAGGCGTCCGGCTTTTCATCTTGGCGATACACACTGCCCGTTTGTTACATCATGGGGTGTGGCGCAGCTTGGCTCAGCCCTACTGATCCTAGAGTCCACGACACCTCAACGGCGATACATTACGCGTACCAAGGTGGCTGTTCAAGAGCTCAAGCTTTGTCAAAACCATCGTGACTTCTCTGGTTTTTTACTTCATGAAGTTCAAGGATGAAGAACATGGAAAGAGCAAAGTCTGGTGGAGAAGGCAAGAGACAGTTGCACGGCAGCTGCCTTAGCTAGGTACTTACCTGGTGGATGGAAAACGACAGAGGTTCTTGCGCGCTGGGCTGTTCCCATTACAGCTGTACTAACAGAGCGAGGCGTAACTTGGGCGAAGTTTTGTTACTTAAGGTTGCACGCATTCAGCACTGGACATGTTTATCCAGTGGGTTCCTTCTTCCTGCGTCAACATCAGGATCTTTCCACTTGGCCGCGATGGTTCTTCCCTTGCCTCTAGCATTTCTCCTTTCTACAGCGAGATAATGACGGCCACGAGTTTCTGTTTTTGTCTGTCTTTTTTGTTTTGCTGGACTCTATTCGCGATATTGGTCCCTCGCTCAACTTCCAGTTTCAGGATTTCCAAAACGCAAAAGCGGACGTTTTCCACATCCGCGGTCCTTTCCATTCCTTCAATCTCTGTTGCCATAACCCTACAACAGTTTCTTTCCCACGTAGTTATTTCCTCCCAGAGATAATGATTCATGAGTACATTCTTACCTGTGGGATGCTTCTGCGTCCGACGTGAACCCCCTTCCGGCCCGTTGGCTCCCAACTGAAACGCTCCCATCCGACGGGATGTTCTCGTCTTCTGGCTGGCCGGGCATGTCAGCCTGGCTCGCCGACAGCGATATGCAGCCATTGCGCCCCTCGGAAGTCGGCAGGCTAATCTAGGCGCAATGGATCCAATGCTTGACGACGTTACAATCGGAACGGCAAAGCGTTACCCCGCCTACATCACTGATGCGATCCGCACATTCCAAGAGAACCACAGGTCCGTCACTGCTAGTCTAACTCATGGATCGAAGCGGGATTGTCTAAGACTTGGCTTCAAGCCCTGCCCTTCATCTCAGTCACAGTCTCCTTAATCACGACCTTTTGAGATGGAGAAGTTACCACCTTGCAAATGGTGTGGTCATCCACCGAACCCCAGCGTTGACCTCACCGTGTTCAGGAGCTCGCTCATTGCCATGGCGGCAAACGCAAGCAAATGCCTGACTTGTTCTATATTTGTCACGGGTATAAGAAAACACATCTCCAATACATCACTACCTGTACCAAACAACGTTGATCATTTAGCTGTCCTTTTGGGCCAGCTGGTTGTGGGCAAAGGAATGGCTGTGGAGATACCGCTGGGTCCATCCCTCCTCAAACTGTCATTTTTCTGCTCAAAAAGTAAGTCAGCAGTCTCAAGCCTCTCCTTCGTGGATGAACTGTAAAAGCTGACTCTTTCATAGAAACTTCTTGGATGACCCAAGCCTTACCCTTCCTTGACATCGGAAAACAGGTCCCAAAGACCACTTCTTCGGACGAGAGTTTCTCATGGGCGACTCAGCAAATCAACCGCTGCAGGGAAGATCATCAGCATTGTAACTCATACTTAAGCGCCGCCGTTCTACCTAAGCGGGTTGTCTTTGTCGGTTCAACGGCAGAACCTGCCCTCCGGCTGTATGAATCCCAAGCCGAAAGCGATTCGTACGTTTGCTTGAGCTACTGCTGGGGTCGTCGTCCTTTTCACTGTACTCTACTCGATAATCTCGAGTCCCATAAAAGATGTATCAAGCCTGACCATCTCCCCCCGACTATGAACGATGCTATCGAGTACACCCGCAGACTCGGAGTCCGCTATATCTGGATTGATAGCCTCTGCATTATCCAGGATTGCCTACTCGATTGGCGAGAGGAGGCGGGAAAGATGGCGTCCATCTATCAAAGATCGTTTCTCGTCATATCCGCCGCATGGTCTGCCGACGCCTATGGAGGCATATATGCCTCTCCCCCATCCGACTACCGAACATTCGCATTGACAGTCAACACCAAAACCAATGAAGTCTGTAACTCCGATGCGGCTGATCAGGCTAACCTCTCGATGACCAAAAATGATACAGAGACAATTTACGTCCGCCGCGCATATGTTCATGTCAAACGAGGAACTTCGAGGTACGCCAGTCGGTTTCCAGTGCTCCCGATCCTTAAGCGTGGCTGGATTTTCCAAGAACTCTTTCTGTCTTCTCGCGTCCTGCACTTTGGGCCCCACGAACTCTACTTTGAGTGCCTAGAGGGTTCTGCCTGTCAATGTACCGACCATAGCAACTCATTCCTGGATCAGGGGAGTGTCTTAGCGTCTCAGGGCGCGGTAAGTAAGACAACACCACGGGAATCTCGTACGGATAGATTTCAACAAAATAGTTCCATGCTTCAAACGCTGGGGAAAGCATACTACGGCCCAGTGGTATGGAGGATGATGAGCCGCGATGATTTAATGTATGTGTGGCATCGGCTGGTGCATGACTACACGATACGGGAGTTGACGTATGGGAAAGATCTGTTTCCTGCCATTTCTGGGTTGGCGAGGGAGATGAGCATTGCACGTGCAGCACGAGACGCTGATGAGGGCGTGGTCCGAGGGACAGTCTACTTTGCTGGGCTGTGGAAAGACAGCCTGGTGCGAGATTTGTGCTGGAAGGTTGGATTTGAGAATGTCAATACTGATGATAAAGATGAGGTGAAGCGCATCAAGGCATGGACGGATAGAGCGCTTGAATGGCGGGCGCCAACATGGTCTTGGGGCTCCGTCAACGCACCTGTGAAGTTCCTGGGGCAGGAATATGACATTAAAGACTTCTTCAAACCCTTGTGTGAAGTACTCGATGTTTCCTGTACTGCGGCCGGATCGGATGAGGTGGGTGAGCTGATGGCAGGGAAGCTGGTACTGCGCGGGCTGCTCTTGCCAGCAAGAGTGACACGTTCGCGTTTCAAAACCGATCGGGAAGACGGACTACGATTTCCATGGCAAATTCTTAGCTTGGACTTTGGGGTGGTTGAGACTTTTGCGCAGGACCTATTTGTTGATGACGGATGTCAGCATCTCTTGAGGCTTTTGGATGAGTCAGAACCGGGTAGTGATCGACCTATCGTTTACTGCTTTATGCTTGGGATAGTAAGGAAAGGGGCCAGTCCAGTATTCCTGGTGCTAAAGAAGGTCAAAGGGCAATCGGAGGGAAAAAGGGGCCAAGATGTATATCAACGAACCGGGAGGCTTCAGCTGATAGGGCCTCCTCGCCGCCCAAAGAATGATCGTACACCATGGAAGGAACAATTCGGGGTATTTGCGGAAGCCAAGGAGGAGGTGGTTACCATCATCTAGCAAGGAGACTGTCGGATCTAAGTACACTTTGGCAGAGCACAGAGCCGTCAGGCTGAGGGCAACGAAGGACATCAAGAACAAGTACATGAAGGCGGACGAGAACTTTTGGATACAAGGACTGATGTCAGGGGGGAGTGAGGGCAGAGCCACTCATCAGATACCAATCAACAATGACAAACATGTGAAGTGGATCGTATCCACGCGTGAAACGCATCAATAAACCGAACTGCAAAGATGGATTTCTCCCAAGGAAGCTTCGACCTAAAACTATCATTGCAAACCATAAGAGGTACCCAGGATCTCCCATATCCAGCTTCACAATCTCTAGACACAAACACAACCAACTGCAGATACCACAATGTCAACAAGACCACAGAAAACCACAAAAAGAAGGAAGCAGACCATGACTTCACGCATCTGCACAGAACAGTACGGGAAAAAGCCCAAAAAAGAAACGATCCGGATGGGACTCGAACCCACAACCTCAGTCTTATCCTCCCGCAATTAGGAGGACCACACGATACCATTTCGCCACCGGACCGTTCGTTGCTGTTAAACTCTTGTGCAAAACATGTTATTGTGAAGCCAGGATGGTGGAGAAGGGGGCGGGTGCATGGGTGCATAACATAACATATGTAACAAAACAAAACACTGACATTCGCACAACGCCGATTTAGACACTTTACAAAACAACGGCAGAGATCAATAACAAAGCAAGAAGATTGTTGCTGAAGCTATCAAAAGCTTACCAGAGAATGTCCAAAGACAAGAGAACCGCAAAGAAAAGGAATAGCCCTCACTAATAGGGACAACGACCACACCAAGCGCAATCTTTCGAACACGCCGTGAAGTCGTCCCCTGCCCCGTCCGAGTCCGACTGCCAACGCAGGTCATCGTCGTAAGTCACAGTACCTGTACGTAGTATGCCCCTCGGGATAGAGTTCGTGGCAAAGGCGCCGCCTCGTGTTTGACGTCCAGCCAAGCTTTTCGATGTCCTCATCCTCGCCGTGTCTTTATTGCGCTTTTCATCTTCGTTGTGATCGGAGATATCCTCACCTTCCTCATTCTCTGGATTCTTCTTCTCCCGGGTGTCGGATTGCTTATCTTCAGCAGTGCCCATCTGAGCAACTATCCATTGTGTGCGGAAGGCGTCCGACATCACTTTGTCACCTCTGATCTTGTCAATCGTCTTCCCCTTCTCCTTCTTGACGCTCAAATCCCCATCAATCCCTTCGTCCAACGGCGTCTCTTCGGGCCACCCTTGCTCCCTAACCTCCAGAACACCAACTGCATCTTCACGATGCACCAGCTCCATCTTACCCCCTTCAATATCTTCGATAACCTCCCGGATCCGCTTCAGAAGCCCAACTAACTTCCCCAACGCGTCCTTCTGCTCCTTCTCCCACCGCTTGACGTCTTCTCGGACGTCCTTGATCTCTGTGTCTTCCTTCCGGAACAGGCCGCGGGTGTGGTAGGCTAGGATGAAGCGTGGGATCTGGGAGATCCAAAGCCGAGGAAGTTCTTCTGACAAAGTGTCTTTGACGCCGCGAGCACGGATGGACCGGGTTTTGAGGTCGAAGATTTGGGATTGGGGGACGAGGGAGTTGGGCCTTTCTTTGATGGTGAGGGCTGGGGATGAGGAGGAGGTTTTGGTACCAGTGTTACCGGACGAGCTGGTAGTAGTGGAGTCCGAAGAGAGCTTCAACCCAGAGAGCAAAGCGTCGACATCCTCATCCCCACCATCCTTCTTCACCTTTCCGGCCTCACCATCCTCACCTCCCTTTCCGCTCCCATCCCTCACGTACCCATCAGCCTCAAACCTCACCAACATCCCCATCCCCCCAAACCGATACCTCACGACCCTCTGATGGCTCGAACTCCCCTTGACCTCCCCCTCCCAGCTCGTATACGCTTCCGGAAACGCATGCCCATACCCCCCTCACATCGGGAATCGTTTCCGTCGGAGAATTTTCTCTTCTGACAAAAAACACTGTATTCTCGACTTTTTCGACCAAGATCCGGAAGGTCTTGTCTTGGCCGCGCACGAAACGGAGAAGGTTGCCGAGGGTGCTGCTGCATGCTACTATGTCTATCTTGTCTGGGGAGGGGATGGGAGAGGCGGAGGTAGAGATAGAGGGTTTGGTGGTATTGGTGTTAGAACGGAGATAGGAGACCAAAGCGGGCTCGAGGGGGTGCGAAGGGTAGCGGGCGGCGTTGCGGTCGCGGTGGTATGTGCCGCTGTCTTCGCGGAGTTGAGGGGGTTGGCCGGGGGGTGGGGACCAGAGGGGGGGTTTGCCTTTTTGGGGTAGGTGTGTTAGTGTTAGTGTTAGTGTTGATGGTGGTGTTGGTGAGTTGGGATTTGGGAAAGGGTGGTAAGGAAGGGGGGCTGAGAAAGTGCCGGAAAAGAAAAGGAAGGAGAGACAAACCAGGAATCAAGATGGTTGGATTCGAGAGATTGGTGTCCAGCCAGTTGTAGGATGCTACAACCTCACAGCCCTGAATGGTGGCCGAGTGTTGGTTGTCGGGATCATCGTCGAGATCATTAACACGGAGAGACTTGAGGAGTGGTCCGAGCGGCGGAGGTGGTGTTGTCGGTGTTGAGGACGTTTGTTTCCAATTGTTGCCGAAACTACGGGCTTGTGTCCCGGAAGAATTGTAAGATTGGGCTTTTCTGGCCCAGTAGGAAGACATGATGATGTATTGAAGGGTATTGAATCAAGAAGGAAGGAGTGATGGATGAGTGATGATGGGAACTTAGGTTGCTGAGGAAGGCGCTATCGTTGCCGTGTTGGACCCTTTTCGATTTTCTCTCGATCCATTCCTTCTTCCTCCTTTTATCCAAAAACACCATACACCACCTTTATGTTCCTCACCCACGGCTTGCATCTTGTGCGCGCTCCATTCTAACTCTCCTCCTGTCTGCCTCTCGTCTGCCTCTCGTTTGCCTCCAGTCTGTTTGAGGCCCGTCCTTGACGTTCACTTGCATGTGTCATCGGCAGCCAACCGATTGTCGAAGAAAAGGAAAACGCCTCGCAACGCCATAACAGGCCGCTCATTTGACGACCAGGCAGCGACTGCATCAGGTCTGTGGCCAATTACAGTGGGTCTACTCCCCCAGACGATAGTGGACGGGTGCACTAACAATTAAACGCATAGGACCCCAACCCCGCGCCGCCAAGACCCGGCCTCATTCCCCGCGTCTGCCTCCAACGAAAGACTGGTCGAGTCCCGGACCGAGCTCATCGGCATCGAATGGGAGCCGGATGTCAAACAAAGAATGGGCCTCTTGCATCCAGCATTGCGGCTAGATTGCCAGCCACTGAGTGATTCAGGTTTTCTCCCAAGCATGAGGTCTTCTACATACAGCGAGTCGCCTTATGGAGAATCCCGCTGCCAGCCTGCCGCTGCTCAGGCAACGATGGCCGCCATCACGAATCACGACGGTGCTGCACGACATCCCTCCATGCGCGAGGCCAACAGCCAGCGCATCAGACCCATGTTGACGCCTTGAAAGGGAAATGGCAAACTTCGTCGTTTAAAGCACCGAGATTGTGATTCGGTCGATGATGTACTTCCCGTCGAGCCAGTCTGCCTTTCCACCAGGCCGATGGCCGTCATGGCCGGGCTTGCTGCCCCTGGTGTAGGTCTCTGTTTGGGCCGGAGGGCAAGCATTGCCTCCAACAACACTACGTTATCGATCGGTTTAACAAAGGCCTCCAGTTTGCCCGGGGTCAGGGTAGATTTGTGTACTGCAAAAGAGCATTGAACCCCAGCTTCGGTCTCTGCTGCTTCGAACAATTGATACCTACCTACATTCCCAAAGGCTCCCCAGACTTATACTCTCTGTGTTTCCTTCACAACCTCTCTAGCAGTACATCGGCACCGGGTCCTGAAACCAACCACTTCCTGATCACCTGTTTGTCCAGAAATACCCAGTCAACAGACCACGATGGCTTCCAACAACCCCCGCCAGAAACGCCTCAAATACCTTTTTCGTCAGGTTATCAACGCGGAAAGGCGAGTCAGCAGCTCCCATGAGGCTCAGCTCTTTATCGAAGCCATCCAAACTTACGAACCACCGAGCACATGTGTCGAAATCATTGTCTCCAGCCCTGCTGGTCTCGACGCACTCCGAGATGCTGTCCGAGTCAACTTGTCTGCTTCATTCTTCCTTTCGCATACCTTTCCCCTGTTGAGATACTTTTCCGACCCAGGTATCAAGGCTCTCGTTGATGGTCAGTTGCTTCAGCGGGTTCTCAGCTCACTCGGAAAACCTCCCACGCTCTGGAAAGCTCTCTTCAAACTTTTCCATGATCATCAAATCCCCGACGATCAACTTGTGCCCTTTGTCTGGCTCGCTCTCGGACTTCTGTCTCTTCCCAAGGATGCCGATCTCAACATCACAGACGATGTCAAAACTCTCGTTGAAGGCACACGGCTGTCTCAAGCCGAGGACCACGACATCCGTGATCTGTTCTACCGGATGAAGAACGTGTTAGAGCTCCAGTCGTCGCCCGTCGGGAACACT